CTGAATCAAAAAGTTAAACAAACATCTTTAAGATGTTTTCTTTACATGTGAAATAAAGAAAACAGTTACAAACTGAAACAGGAAGTGCTTCTGGACCAGTGTTTTTTACATCTTGTGAAATGGTCTATATTTGTCTGTAAAACTCACAGTGTCCTTGTGTCTTTCAGCTGTTAGATACTAAGTCCACAGACCGCACACAGACTTTGTTACACTTCATTGCGAATATGGTGCATGAGAAATACCCTGAGCTCGCCTCCTTCCACACTGAACTCCGCTTTGTAGACAAGGCTGCACTGGGTAAGACATACAATATTAATGATCCAACATAGTAACATCATGTGATATACTTTACATACAAAATGTACAATCACTGCTTATCAATAATTAATGTAGCGTCTCTTTTCGCTTTGCCTTGCTTCACTTTGCTCTCTCTCTCAGTGTCTTTGGACAGTGTGCTACAGGATGTGAGATCTCTGGAGAGAGGGATGGAAGGGACCAAGAAGGAGTTCCTAGTGCAGGATGACATCCCAGCGCTGAAAGAGTTTGTCAAGGCCAACAGTGACAAATTAGACTCACTTGTTAAAGATGGCAAAACAGCACAGGTGAGACCACAGGACCATGCATCAACTATTTGATAAACTAATTCTTTCTGACTTTTCTTTTTTCTTTTCTGCCAATAAGGAGGCATACATGTCTGTAGTGGAGTACTATGGGGAGAACCCAAAGACGACACAGCCTTCCATGTTCTTCCCACTCTTTGTCAAGTTTATCAAAGCTTATAAGGTGAAGATGCAGTTATATTTACCCACAGCTTTTGACCATGTTCATGATCGTTTACATGCTTAGGAATTCTTTGAAATACGTCAAGGAATAAAAAGTTAAACAAACATGTTAAATGAGCTGAGCTCTATAAAAAGATCTGCACCATTTGATTATTAATTGCCATGTATTATTGTTTCACACAACAGCAAGCAGAACATGACAATGAACAGAAGAAAAAACAGGAGATTGCAGCAGAAGAACAGGCAGCAGCCCCTTCTCCAAAGAAAAAAGATGGCTCCCCTCAAAAGGTTTATTTACAAAAGACTCATATATTTCATATATCATGTATAATATATAAATTCCCCATTGCAAATCAGATTTACTGACTTGCAGCTGTTTGCAATAAACAATCTAAATGTAATTGAAATAGCTCAACACAACAAAAGTTTTAAGTGGTTTCCCCAAATTCAAAAATCCCCAACTTTTAATGACTTTAACAGTCTCAAAATTACTCAACTCCTTGATGGCAAGCATCTTTAGTACTTACTAGAACACCCTTTTGCTGTTATGACTTGCTGCAAAAAAAGAGGAATAAGCAGACACCAGCTTCTGGGAGCGTTTCTGAGGAATCTTAACCCATTCCTCATGAGCAATGGCCTCCAGTTCAGTAATATTATTGGGCTTGCGTGCTGCAACCGCTGCCTTCAGATCTCACCAGAGATTTTCTATGGGGTTCAAGTCAGGTGACTGTGATGGCCACTGTAGGATTTTTTCCAGGACTTCTTCTGCAACCAAGCCTTAGTGGAATTTGAGGTATGCTTGGGACAAGCGGCAACATTCTAATCTGAAAAATGAAGCCTACTCGGTGTTGTGCCTAATTTCGACCCCCTGCCAAATTATTACCCCCCTCGTTGAAGTCAGTACCTGATTGCTTAATCCCAACCCGCCCCTAATCCTACCCCTCCCCCACAACTAATTCTAAACCTACCAATGCTAAGGGGGTAATAATTTGGCGGGGGTCGAAATTCGGCACAACACCAGAAGTGCGAAAAACTGCAACACATCGAAACTCCGCTAGAGAGAGGTCCCAAAAGGGAGCAAATATCTATAGACCCCATGTTAAACTGTCCGTTTTCACAGCATAAATTCATGTTTTTACAGGTTGGTCCCATCGACTTTTATTATATTTTTCGATAGGTTCCGAGTGCCTGACAACTGTGAGGGGGTGAATTCTTTTCTAGCTCTGTAGTTTAGATCGTATTTAGATATAAAATGTATGATAAATAAGGGCGTGGTTAAGTTTGATTGACAGCTTGATTGACAGATGATAACAGTCTGCGCTGAGTGGATTTCCTGAAACTTGACGTCTGACACAACACATACCACCTCTCTATCCTTTCTGAACATTTGTATTGAAATATCGTACATAAAATGGGTTGCTCTGCTATAAACTGCACTAACCAACCATGCATTAAATCGCCTCAGATAAGTTAGCTTCCGAGGTAGGGACAGGTGGGGTTTTGGGGGGCTAATACAATGCTAAATCATAAATCATAAATGTACAATAACATACCGATGAAACTCAACAAACAGTTCAGGTATTTCATACGTTTTAGCTCAAGCACACCTGATGCGACTAATGAAGCCCTTGATTAGTTGCATCCGATGTTCTTGAGACTATCCAATGCCGTTGAATCATTTTGAGACTGCGGCATTAAAAGTTGCATTTTCAGTTGAATTTGTGGAAACCACTTGAAATATTTGTTGTGTTGCACAGTGTAATTGTATTTCAATTGCTCTTGTTTGATTTGTTCATTGCAAATGTTTTTGTTCATCGCATTGCAGCTGAAAGTCTGTACATTTTGCATATATATATATATATATATATATATATATATAGGCCCTATAGCAAGACAGACCTACTTTATTAAAATTAATTTATACAATCTCTTGATTTATAAACTTCTTTGACAATTTGTAAAATTTGCATTGTTTTATTTTTGTAATATAGCTTCTCATCCAATTTTTTGAGGAGGCACTGCCTCCCCCGCTTCCTCAGAGGAAATGCCCTATCTATTTATATATATAAACCATGGCGTTTGATTTAATTAAATACTAGAACTGCACAACTGAAGTTATTCCTCTGAAAAACTTTCTCCTACTCTGATCAGGGTCCCATGATGCCCAAAATGCCTCAGATGGACCTGATTGCAGAGCTAAAGAAAAGACAGGTGAAGCCCCAAGTCACAGACGGGGCCATTGAGGGCATTATCACAGGTAAAAATGTGTTGTGTGTTAAAAGTTGTGTGTTACAAACTATAAGCACTTTCCTTTAGATATACTTTTTTAATGGTGAAAACGATCAAAGGTGATTTGCCACCTACTGTACTTCAACTTCACTTTGTGTAATAACCTGAATGGGAAGACTAAATTTTTTTCTGTGTGTTATTAGATTTAAGAAATTCGCCCTACAGAAGAGGTGATGGTCGGAGAGCAGCTCCACGACAAGATAACTGAGGGCTACCTTAATATACTTCTCTCCTTCCCGCTGGACACTTCTGTACATAAAAACCTGCTCTTTTTTTTATACATTAAAATATTTTCAATCTGTGCTGTGAGAAAATAACTCTGGCAAAACACATACATACAAATAAACACACATTTGTAGAAAATGCACACAAACACACTAACAAACACATTACAAGCTCTTAAAATGAGAATCTGTTAAAAGCCATCATTATAGACTTGTACATAATTTTGTACCATCACATTTCTTTGTGAATGTGAGCAATTATTTGAGCTTAAATGATCATAATTTTGCTAATGCAATTGTGCTCACAGATGACAATACTTTTATACAGCCTATGTATGAAATACAAATCTTTTTTTTTTAATAATTCTTATAGTCAAAGGTTAAAAATTGTACAGAAGTTAAACATGTTTTATATATATTGTGTGCTCTTATAGAAAGAAAAAAGAGACAGTGTAAATGTTGTCGTAGAAGAGAGCAGTACTTTATTAGACACACAACCACAGCAAGTATGTACAAAAGGTCTCAGCTCTCAACATTTTCTCACAGGAAAAAATAATAATAAAGTCACATTTCTCACAAAGTTATCATGGCATCCACACTGACAAATTAATTTCATTTTCTTCTGTATCTATAGGTGTTTATATATCTTATTTGTATATAGAGCGATTCTCAGTTGGTACATTACTCTAGTCTATATGGGAGGGTCACAGCGTGGGTAAAGGGCTCGCACCATTACTGGAGCGTTGATGGTTAGAGCTGAGTTTAAGTCATTGAGCTCATGTCATTCAGTAAAACACACTCAGAGCTTGCCAATCAAGTCTGGTCACCACATCACCACAGGTTACAGTAAGACTGGACATGCCTGAGCCACAAAGATATCAGACATATAAAAAGTCATTTTTTCCTACTTCGACTCTATACAGCTGTGAACCTCATATCAGTGCACTTGATCTCACTATTTCTCTCCGTTGACTCTTTAAAAAAAAAAAAAAAACATGTAGATAACTTTGTTTTTTAAAATCATCTGCACCGTGCGATTGCTTTTAGTATGTACATGCATTGCTATAATTATTGTTTTTAGTATTTTTAAACTTTTAATATATAGCTTATAACTCCATCTTTTAAATAAATCATAATTTTGTAGGACTCTAATAATTACGATTTTATTTACATGTTATAGTCTTATTACCTTTCTTCTTTTCTTTTATTCTTTTGTAGCATTTTATTATTATTCTCTGATGTCAGAAATTTGTAACATCCACACAATCCATGTAGAAAAATCTCACGTAAGGGACTAAAGGGCTCTGGTAAAATATTCTACATAAAGTCGTTCCATCATAGAGCATTTAACAAAGAATGTGCTTTCTCCAAATTACTCTTGTGTTATTTTTGGCCAAGTAAACCAGATATACATAGTCTATAACTAGCAGAAGCATCAATTCCTGCTGTCTTTCCAAAGGGGGAAAACTCCAACCTGCAGGTCAAAATTTGCAGATCGTGTCAGAAACACTTAAGCACTGAAGTTTCACCGACCAATTTAAACCTCTGTCTCACTGAGGAACTACACTATAAGCAATGAAGTTGCAGACTTACTCCCTTCCACTAGAGGGCAGACGAGTGCTGTGCCATTTCATTTACATGCGCCATTATTTCCAACTTGTTCATTCACCCAATGCAACAAACGAACGGTTAGAAAATAACATTCTCAGGTCACAATACAGATTTATAAGTATCAGCAATAATTCAGATTCCACTCGGATCACATAACTTCATTTCTTTTGACAGGCTGGCAGGATTTTTTTCTTCTTTTGTTTTCAGATTCACCCAACACTTAAAACAACTCATAAAATAATAATTAACAAAACTCTAAACCTGTGGTTAAAATGCAGCTATACATTGTACATGAACTGGGCTGTACAGAGTCATATTTTCAACTCAATATACAAAACACTTCTCTTGTGAATAAATAATTTTCTAGTGTGCTCTATTTTCCTCAGGATTACAAAAACAAAATTATGTACAAATAAATCTCAGTTAATATAAAACCAATGAACAAAAAATATACAAACGCAAATCTCGTATCATTTTTACTAACTGTGTTGAGTGAAAAATAAATGACTAACTTTTAAGATGTACATATCATGTGTGTGCTGATGTCTTCACATGTTTTGAGAGAGAAAGATCATGGGTTTTTTTTTTTTTTACAAAAGGGAGATTTCACCACCGTCCTACGTGTGTTCATCGCAGTCTTTGAGGCAGTCAAGAAAGTATTTTCTTAGCTCACATACTAAGATGAAGCCTCTCCATTCAAGCATGAAACCCACTTCTGAGAAATCGTAGCCACAAGCATAACGTTTTGATCGTTTGAGTGTGCTCACTGCAGCATGAATCGTCTCATTTGCTATTTTCTACTAGTAGTTTGGTCTGGGTATTTAAATAGGCCCTTAGCAGAAGAGCTGTGAATATGTTGCTTCCTGGCAACTTTCCAGACAGGACTGAAAAAGATCTAGAGTCTGAAAGATCTTTGTAAACCAGTGAGCCACCTGGTTGTTCTATATCAAATCCAGACATGAATTACAAATAAAAGCATTGCTTTTCTCTTTCATTCACAGATGTTAAATTTAAACAACGGTCTAGTCAAGCCATGCCTTAAATAAAGACGTTTCCGTGCATGTAACAGCCTACGCTTGACCCTTTTGCCTCTCACAGCACCTCCCATGTGAATCATTGTGAACTTCGGACATGAATTACTGGCCAATTTGGCTGCGAGACACGGAGAAACACCACTAATCTCTCTCTCTGGCCATTTACTCTCGCTGTCGACCTAGTGCTTAAGCCATTATTTTAAACCCTGCACCACAAGCAATCAATTTCACACATTCATTTTGTCAGAAAGCTGGAAAAATCTCCCATTTTCCTCTATTCAAACTCATTCTATTCCATTCTCACTCACCTTTTCACATTTAAATTATCTGAGCTCATGAGGAAACCTGCAGAGGTTGTGGCACTGACAAATTCCCAACATAGGAATATCCTTATGAGAAGGAAAAAAAGCTTTAACATTGTGTGTGTGTCTGTCATGAGAACTGGAATAATAAGAAAAGATGAGTGGGCATAACCAGAACATCATTGCAAAAAAACAACAACCACTCAGTATGCAACATAACCAGATACATTTAGGTAGTGACAATTTTGTATCCCCACAGCTAATCATAAACTGGCACACAATTACCTTACTAAAATGATCTGTCTGTCTGTGGTTTTGATAGAAAAGTAATCAAGGGATGGAAAAAGGATTGCTCTGTTGGAATGCTCTAGCGCACAGATGTCTTCCACTCGATGGTTCACTTCCACTGGCATGCATGCTGTGGAATTACCCTCAGTCTTCTTGCTTGTGCAACCCCTACACGGGCCGGCGAACCTAACCATCTGTTTGTTCATTTTATATTGGAATTCAATTTCGCAATCTGGGAGGCCAACAGGTTAAGGCAGCTTGTGCCGAACGTTTGATGATTGTCAGATCATTGTACTTTAGCCTCTAAAACCTGTTGTGCGTCTTTAACGACAACTAGGGATGTATCTTACCTTACATGGGGAAAATGTGACAGTTAAGAACTCGAAAAAACAGCACCAAAACCCCATAATAAACTATAGAAATTAAATCCCATAACATACTTTTTGCCACGACAACTTGTTAAAGCAAGCATGTAAAATTGCTGTATGAAGACCTATTTGAGAATAAAATTTGACTCTTAGGCAGTGCATGTGCATTAAAAGGATATTTTACACAAAAATGAAAATTCTGTCATTGACTCACTCCCATGTCTTTCTAAATCTGTGGAAAGAAGATATTTTGAAGAATGTTTTTTGACCACACAATAAAAGTCAATGGGGTCCAAAACAACACCCATTGATTTCCAAAATAGAAGAAAACAGTAAATCATGACAGAAAGTTCATCATTGGGTGAGCAATCCCTTTAAGGGAGTGTATAATCAGCAAAATGTTAATCATAGCACCAATTTCAGTTATTTTCCTTCAGCAGTATGACCGATAGCCAAAATCTACAATTAGAACGAGTGATGTTGCCTTCACATTAAGTTTTTGCTGTATTTTTTTTAAACATTCCTTTTGTTGATATAGATATGAGCAATAAAACGTCTCAACAAACACCAACTACTACAGTACTCACTTTCGATTATTGCAACTCTACTTGGTTTTACATAGTCTTACAGTCTTGATTTTACACTTGATGGACATCTACCGAACTCAGCTAGATCTCCAACATGTGAGATTTGGCAAATGAATGAGGATTTGGGTAAAGAGTCCTTCCCCAGGCCTCCCGTGGGTGGTGTGATGCTGGCTGCGCGGTGGAGCTTGAAACAGGCTGGTGGTGAGTGTCCAAGCCCATCTGTTGCTTCTCTACTTGGGGAACTGGCAGAAATGCATGGTAGGTAGGTAGGGATTACAGTTTGGATCTGCTCACAAACTAAAGAAAAGGGAACCCACGAGGCAGAACGAGTTATCTGTCTCAGTGCACCACATCTCTGTAATCCACAAGTTGTCTTAGGAAGGATAACCAAGGAACAGGGAGTCAGAAACAAAAGCTACAGAATCTATGCCCCACAAAACTTTCTTTTAGGTCAGTTGCATTTCATTTCATCTACTTGTGCTGTCTGCAATTCCAGCACCGTCCTTATTCCACGTCACCCCGAGTCACCGCCTTGGGTTCAGTCTTATTCCCCTCCTTGTCAAACTCCAGGCTGTGGATGGCCGAGGGTTTCAGGGCCAGTGAGGACAGACTCAGAGAGGTGAGAGCCGAGGGTGATGAGGGCGAGGAAGAAGACGTGGGTGAGGTCGGAGAGAGAGGCGAGCGGCCATTGGAGATGGGAAGAGGAAGGCTTGAGGAGTCGAAGTTCTTCTCTCTCAGTAACCGGTGGTGTCTGAAGGTGGACGAGAGGAGGAGGGCCTCGGCTGAGAGGCTGGACGCGGAAAGGCCAGCCAGAAGTGCTTTGGCCTGGTTGGAGGAGGCAGTCAAGGAGGACAGCGCCACCTCCTGGGGGTACTTCCGTAATCTGGAAGGCAGGTGGCCAGAGAAGCTAGCGGCTCTGGTGCTTGCGAGGAGCGACTCTGTTGCTCTGGCTCTGCTGATGTTCAGACTTAGAGCCTGAGGGAACGGATGGTGAAGGCAAAGTAAGGGGATAAAGGGCAAAAGAGTGGGCAGAGAAGAAACAGAGCGTAAAAACTAAGAATAAAAACATATTGCGAGATGTTTAAGGTTTGGTTTAGCTGTAATGTGTCATTCATCTCTCCCACAAGACAGGAATGAATGAGGCTCTGGAGAATATTGACAACCGGATGATGTTTTAGGCCATTTAAACCTATACGGGATCGACTAGGAGGAACTGGGTAAAGGATTGTAGGCTTCAGTCAGGAGATGCTGATGAAGAAGTGGCGGTGAAGACGGCAGAGGAGGAGGTGGACAAGCCTTAGTCAGGTCAGGTTGGTTTGGGTCGCTAACTTCTGCTCACTGGGTTGAGGGGTTGGACGTGAATGGTTGCCATGAGGGCCGACGAAACGATGGCAGGTAACACGCAGGCAGGTAGCGGTGACAGAGGACAATGCAGGAAGAAGGGGAGGATGGGAGGAAGACAAACACAGGACAACGTTATTCAGGTTAGGATCATTCATGCATGATGCTAGCCTGGTACACAATTCTACGCGTGGATTTCATCACATAAGAGCGAATCCACATACATTTAAAACACCCACAATGCACTACGCTAGAAGAAACCGACGTTTCACGGAACCTTGGTGGGTTTATTGAACATGAGCGTATACACATTTCTATTTCCATCAGTCACTCACAAACACTCTTTCGGTTCCTGTGTGACAGGAATCTGAAAGTGTTCGAGTGAGATCTGCTCAAACTAAGCAGTTGTGAGGGAGATGGATGGACAGGACGGATAAAAGGAGTGAAGAGGAGAGTGATGGGGGTGAAGAGAGAGCCCAGAGAGCCTGGGTCTTTCCACATGAAGTGCCAATTATTCCACCCTGATAGAGCAGAAAAAGACTCTCCATCTTTTTCTCGCATGTATCTCTCTTCCCCTTTAACCTTCTCCCTCTCTTAATTTTCTCTCACTCTTTTCATTTTCATCCAGCTTTCTCAAAAAGTCCCCAGATAACACAACTATGGTTGGATATTCGCAATCTGAGTAAAAAAAATTGAGATTGAAAATGTTAAAGAAATACATGTAACAGGGATTTTTTACTAAATTTGAGAAAATTCCTTTTATTTTTCTGTAATGTATTACAGTTTCTACAAAAATATTAAGCAGCCCAACTGTTTTCATTTGATCCATCATTTGATACTGAAGAGTATAAAGGCTGCTAAAAATGTTAAAATATATTAAAAAAGAAAACAAAGATGTTGTTATACATTGTACAGAATATTACTGTATAATGTATTACTGAACAATAGTGATGATTAACTAAATGCACACTTTTTAAAAAAAGCCTACACTTTTAGTGTACATTTCATTTTCACTCAGTTCACACTTCACAATTAGAGTAATAAAGACAAACTCAGAAACAGCAAGTGAATTAGACCAATAAAGACTGTATGAAGTATAGTCAACATACACGTTTAGTGTTATCTAAACGCATTTTGAGCTATGCGTGTATGTCTACGCCGTGAAATGTCCGACCGAAACGAAGCAAAATGTAGATCTACATCTGGAGAGTGATATTTCTTTCCTAGGATGGTAGGGGAAGACTCATAAATGCTATTAACCCCAGTGACAGGTAGGTTTAGGGACAGGGTTGAGGTAGGTCATATATTTATATATACAGTAATGTAACGTTAAGTCAACGGCGTTCATAAACACGCTGAAAAGCGATTATGTGTGTTGATAGCACGCCAAAAATGGAAATACGAATTGGCATGTCATACATACGCCATTTCATGAGATCAAATGATGTGTTGCTCAGCCAGGGACAGCAATCATTTGAAAGAGAAGGATAGAGTAGAAACCTGAATTTAATGTGGATCAAAAGGCACAGCATGCAGAAAAAAAAGGAATAAATGAAATGAGTCTGGGTGAAAAGGTGTGTGTACAGTCTACACAAATGTTTGTATCCATTTGCAGCAAGGAAAGTTACAGATACACGCAGTCCACTTAATTATCTGTTACACTGACAAGTCTAAACCCTGATCATATCCAGCTTAGCAGGAGTGCCTGTAACAGCAAATATGTTCTCCTGTATAGTAGAACTGAACCCTCGTTCTCTCACCAATATCTGTTTCTCTCTTCCTTCCCCATAAAAGATTAGATTCTTTTCTAATATTCATGGCCTGTTGAACAGGGGCCAGATTTATTAAACTGAGTAAGGAGATTTACAGCGCACCAGCATATCAATCTTCTCCTTACCTAAAGCACAGAGGCCCTCAGCTGTCTGTGTATGTGTGCGTCTTTTTCTCCCTCTAATCCATCTTTCAAACCTCCTCTGTTTTCTCCACCTGTCTCATTCACTCGGCTTATGTTGTAGAGCTCGCGTTTCCCAATTCTCTAGCTTCATGCTTCCATTCTCCCCCTTCTCCTGAGGCCAACCTGTCTCTGGTTTCTTTGTTCTGTTAGGGGGTTTTAAGTGCACTTTAGAGTCCCAAATGTCCTGTGATTGACGCACCACAGCGCCACTCCCATCACTGCTAGAAAAGTTCCCTCCCAGCCTCACTTCACTTGTGACTGACACACACAGTACACACACACACACACTTCTTCCTAAAAGCTCTCAGCATAGTCTGAGCTATGGACTGTTACTGAAATGCCTTCAGACAGTGAGCTTTCAGCATACTATTTTAACTAATACAAACTAACACAGCAGTAAGGAAGAAGACTAAATATGTTTAAGACTGAGTTAAGACTAAACAAGGACTAAGACTTAAAACAAGTTCAATATTTTAACTCCGATAACTTGGCCTAAATAGATTTAGACTGCAGAATGACAGATAGAGCGTTAGATAGATAGAATGTGTAGAACAATAGAACATCATGTTGCTTTTCCATTACCAGTACTCGACTCGGCTCGCTTTTCGCTCCGTTTTCCATCGCCACAAAATAGTACCCGGTTGTCATAGGGACGCCTTTCGTTCCTCGTTGCCCTATCAAGCTCTCGCTGGATCCTCTCTTCGGCCACCAACAAAGGAAAGTCTGCCCCTCATCGTTTGACCACGGCATATTCTTCCGAGTTGCCATAATAATAGTAGTAAGTTTAGTAACTATCTCTGGCCAAACTATTAACAAATCGCGGGATAATATTCTGAATACTTCATCTGGCGCGTGAAATGATGACACAGTGAATGGTGATGATTCTCTCTGACCAATCAGCAGTCGGCATTGTCTTTACTCCACTAAATTTCTATCCATAACCGTGAGTTCCCGTTACTACTCATAAAAAAATTAATGGAAAAAAGAAAAATCTCGGAAACCCTCAATTTGTTGTTTACCTCTGAAACGTGATTGGATTGCGCAGGCGCCACTGATTGGGACAACCTATCAGCAGTCACCTTCAGTTTTCTGCCAAAGTCAACTCCATGGTCAGATTTAGATAACAGACGAAACAATGGATGAAGATGCAGCCGGTCCATCCCGGGAATGTACCAACCTGTGGCCCCACCTCGCCAGACTATTTCAATTTTCTGAATTTTCAGAAATTTTCTTAAATGTTAAATAAAGCAACATGGTAAAAAGATGAAAACATTCTCCAAGGTATTAACATTTTTCATAAGACCATGATACTCCAGTACTTTTAAAAACAAGTACTTCAGTTCTTTTACTTAAAGGGTAACTAAACCCCTGGTCAGAGCCTGACTCCACCCACTGGCAATATTTGAAAAATGCTGGAAAAGTGGGCAGAGCCCAGCGGAAGGGGGCGTGCACCTGAGACGCATCTCTTTGTATGGAACTTGCCTACGTCACCAACAACCGCTGTGTCACGTACCACCGCAAACATCCAATAGGAAAATTCAACTGCAGTAGCCACCGTTCAACCTGAAGAGGGCAGCACTAAGACGTTTTTACACCATATATTGTAGACATAGAACACTTTATAAACAAATGCCAAAAAAGTTACTCGAATCAATGACTGGTATTAATAAAGATCCATTCTTACAGATCATTAACTAAAAAAAGTTGGTTTAGTGTTTAGTTACTCTTTAAGTAGACATCTGACTAGAGTACATTTACTTTTACTTGAGTAAAATTTAGCAAGGGGTAACTGTACTTTTACTCAAGTAATAAAGCCGTGTACTCCGTCCGCCTCTGGTTTTCACGTCACATTTTAGTATCGCCTCAGCTCACTTGGAACCTCGCAGGAGTTGATACAAAAAAAAGTTTCAACAGGTACAACTTTTACACAGTGGCAAACCAAACAAAGCCGAGCTGAGTCAAGTCGAGCTGGTATTGTGTAGTGGAAAAGCGCCATTAGAGAGAATGTTAGATAGAACAACACACAGACAGACAGACATGATAGATGGATGAAACCATAGAACAATAGATAGAATGACAAAATGATATAGAATGATACAATGATAGAACAGTAGGCAGAATTATAGAAAGAACTATAGATAGATAAACAGATATATCATACCTGTTGTTGACCCTGGTTCTTAAGGAATTCATCTCTCTGTTTGCTTGTTTTGACCTTTTCTGATCCGCTTTGCTGCAGATGCTTGAGACGAGACAGCGCTCTAGCGCCACCAGTCTGAGATGGACAAGAGAGAAGAACAGATGTTCTGTGTACAATAACTGGTAATCATTTCCATCAAATTTCCAACAGGGTTTTTGCAATCACTTGCAGTCAGAGGAAGGGCAGGAGAAGGACAGTGCAAGAGGGCGATGTGTTTTTAATAGAACACGTGCAAGCATCTCAGCGCAGTCCTCTTTGTCTTTCATATTATTAACTGTGATTTCTAGTATCAAATTCAGAAATGATCAATCCTATTACTTCTGCACAAAGTTGACAAAAGCTCTCAATAATCACTAATGACCACTTTCTCTAGTCCTTCCTTGCTCTTCATATATTACCTACACAAGATCATACACTAGAGTCACAACAAGCCATCAGTCCTTTTAAAGCTTCAAGGAGGTCCATTAGCTTTGTGTTTTATGCAAATGAGCATCACTGAACGAGGGGCTCTGTAAGAATATATAATGCCTGCAATCATGCGGACCTATGGTTGTCAGGCTCCATCTGTTCTACGACAGCAGCGTGCTTCGACCTAGAGCTAGAGGCTCGAACACCATGGTTAGGAGGGATGATGCAATGCTGGCTTGTGTACAAATGTGTGGGCTGAGAGCAACGCAGTGGAAAACACAAGTGACATCGTCCAAATCCTTCCCTTCTGTCACTCACAGAGATCAGCTGTGTTCTCAGCGGAGATGAGTAATATGAGCCCGTTCTCATCCCAAGGCGTCATATGCGATGCTTTTGCAAAAGCGTAGACATGCAACGCACATGCGTCAAATGAAACGCAGATATATATATGGGGCAGAAGGTGCCTCCTAGTGGTCTAACCCTAACCCTACCCCTACCCCATACCTAAACCTACCATAACCGAAGCGTCTTATTTGACCCCAAAGGGTGTCATGTGCGTTGCATATCTACGCTTTGGCAAAAGCGTCGTATGTGACGCCTTGGGATGAGAATGCGTTGGTAATACACATGACGTCTGGTGGATTGCTGCTTCGTATCACGCTCACTAAAAGGTGGTTTACCCTGCACTACTTTCCGAAGACAAATGTGAGAGAAGACAACAACACATAAATTATGCAACATCACTGGAGTAGTTTCGAAGAGCTACCCTGGACTTTATCTTTTTATTTTAAGAGAAAAACACATAAAAATGTCCAATGTACCAGAGGAAAATAAGATAAGGGGGAAGTAATCAAATTGCAAACTCATTTTAAGGGGGAAAAAAAGAGTTAGGCTAATGAAGAAGAGAAGGAAACAAGAGAATTTATTGTGCGAAGGATACAATAAGTTTTTCTACAGAGGCTGGAGGCAAACAATTTATCAAAGCATTTGCAAAAACAACACAAACTGATCTAGTTGAGCAACCCAGCAGAAGAGACCAAAACCTTTCCACCAGAGAGGAAGAAAGATAGCCGAGAAGATTGAAAGAATGAAAGAAAGACCAGGGATGAAGGTTGAACCTTGGCTGTGGATGAACTGATGCAGGACGGTTTGGGTGGGACAATGGGTTTGTTTGTTTCTCCTCCGTCTCTATGGTTGTGTTCTGTATGTGGAGGGCTGCCGGATCTCTGGGTGGAGGAACTCTGCGGCGTCTGGGCTGACGTGGGCAAGATGTCTCCTGTGTGAGGATCAGTGCTGAACTCCATCAGGCTGAGCTCCAGCTCACGGATGGTTTCCTCCAGACTGTCCAGTCGACGGTACGTGCTGTGGCAGATGTCTTCCTTTTCCCCTCCAACGCCTTGAGTACGGATCAAACCGACTTGAGATGTCTCTACGGGCCCATTTTGCCTCAAGACGGACAATGTAGTGTCCGACTTTCTCTTTCGCTCGTCTTTCGGTTCTGTCGTCGCCTCGAGAGACTCCTGAACCCGTGGCTCCCTCCTCAGGGGCTGTTTAATTGCCCTCTCCTTTGTTAAAGGCGGGCACGACTGGGTCACATCCTGGACAGGACTCTGGAGTTCCCTCTGGGCAGCATCCAAGTCTTGCATCCGAGGGACTTTTTGGCTGGTTGTCAAGTCTTGTTTCCACAGCGACAGACGGGGAGTCCTCACAATGTGGCTGAAGTAGCTTACTCTGATGTCGTTTCCAGTGTTACTGTCTTTTTTTGTCTGAGCACCGTCAGACGGTCTGGTCTGTGCTGAGTCCTCAGAAGGAGACGTGGGGAGAGAGTTACATTCAGTCAAGACTATCTGGGGAACTGGAGTGGAGGTCATCTCATGCTGCATCTGAAATATAGCAGGAGTTATTTACCCTAAAATGTGATTCATAAAAAGTTTCTAAGGTTAATGTAAATGTGAGCCTCTTACCACAGGTTTCTCTGTAAAATCACTGGAGTGTTCATGATAACCAGACTGAGATGCAGACGGCTGCTGGTACATATATAGCATAACACACTTAGAGATACAAAGTGATATAAAAAACACATAAATATGCAAACACATTAGGGAATAGTTCACGGTGTAATCATTTACTTGCGTTCATGACGGTCAAAATCAGTGATAGCCTACACATTCTGAAGACTGTTGTAGTCACTCTTTTTTAAGGCAATTACCTTGTCTTCAAGCTTCGAAGGATGCAAAAGAACCATAAAGTAGTCCAAAAAATAGTCCATTTGACATGCTATAGTCTTGTTTTGTGAGGAAATTACTAAAATCGAATGTTATTCACTGTTAATCTTTCCCTTCATTGAGCTGTTAACTGTTGTGATTGTATCATTGAGTCAGTTGAGTGATTTGTGAACAAAGTATTCAGGCTATTTTTGTGAATCGGAATAGCTGATTTATTGGCATATCTAACTCAGCTTTATTTCTTTAATTAACTTAAATGTTGGTTTAGATCACCACACAAAAGTATTATAACGTTTAAAAGTGTCATGGATTTAGAAAACTTGAAATATAGTGCTTGAGTCTTATGCACTACTTGTTTTTTACCTTCAGTAAATCCCCAATCATTTTAGCTTTACAGTAAGGGCATAATACAACAAAAAAGTTTTATGCTTTAATATAGTCATAATTCGTCAGAAGTCATATGGGTTTGGAACGCCATGAGAGTGAGTTAATGACAAAACATTCGTTTTTACATGAACTATCCCTTTAAAGATCACAGAGCTTTTCCTCTGTGCTCAATACAAATTTAAAAACAGCAACATTAAGAAATCTGTGAGAGTGCTACCACAATAAAATATCAAACAACCTTCAGTGAGGAAATTGGGCATTTCAACACACAAAGCAGACATGCACTGGCAAGGCCACACACACACTTTATAGGTGGTGAATGTTTAATTGTGATTGTGCTCACTGTGATGTGGGAATATCTTTCTGGTTTTGTTTTTGTGTGTGTGAGTGTGTACCTCTACATTTGAGCATGACTAACATTTCAGAGGGACACTTTGAGCATTTGGGGTAAACTATAGATGCATGTGTGAGTGTACAACAGCAGTCCACAAAAGCTTGCAGTAGTGGCCGTTACCTGTCCAGCCGAGGGCAGATGGGGCAATAGCTGTAAACTAGAGGGAGGAGGGTGTTTCCTGGGAGAGGGCAGGGGGGGAATCAGATATCGCTCAAAGAGCTGAGCGTTCAGGGAGATTGAAGAGAATGAATGAAAAAATATGGGATGCACAATATCAGTTCAAACAGGATTCCTCATGAGAAAGTAAATCATTAAGGACATACACATTTACATACAGGGTTGTAAATACCATAATTCAATATCACTTTAACTGGGTGGAACATGTCCTACCATCAGAAATTACACACTGTACCTTGTAGCTATTTATTCATCTATGCTTAATGTGGAGTATTGTGTTATTGAGTTATGGGTTTGTATTGAGACGCAACTTGTGAGGCTCATTAGGTTTGAGAGAGAGGTCGGCATGGTGTCAGATCTCCACAGGTCTCCACAGGGTTTCCAACAGAGAAATGCAGTGGGAATGGAGGACAAGAGACATCTGCTCGCTTAACCTGTCATCCAGTCAACCAAGATAACAAAATCTGTCTACTTGGTGTTAATGAGCCTTGCAGTTTGTGTGGCAGTGTTTGTTTGTGTTTCTGCCCTGAAGCAGGTCAAGGAAGCTTAAAATCAACACCAACACAGCTCAAGTGGTGTCAGTCAGGAGAAATAAATATAGTGAACTCCAGGCAAAATGATAATATGTAAATAGAGACGGATGGGGAGAAAGTTTAGAATTTAATTGAGCATCAATACATTAAAAGATTTGCAGCATGTTCTGAAGCAGAATTGGGCAAAAGTCGGAATTTAAGTTGGTGGTAGTAGTACATAGGATGCTAAATTGGAATTATAGTTTTGGAATTGCAGTTTAAAGAAATTTAGCACAGTCCTTAAAACGTTTTGTGATGAATAATTACATCATTACATATGTGTAATTTGTCTAAACTCAATACCGTCAAAACTTTGAAAAACAAATTTATTTATTAAAAATGTGTCATAAATGTTTATATAAATACTTTTGGCGTTCAAAAGTTTGGGGCCTGTAAAATTTTTGTTGGTTGGTTTGTTTGTTTTGAAAGACTAATACTTCAATAGAGGGTATGCACGTGGTGTCCATCGGCCGGAATGACTGCAGTTACGACCCAATGAGTGGCAAAAAGAGCTTTTTTTTTTATCTGTACACAATATTAATAATTATAATTATATATATATATATATATAAAACTATTTAATTTCTATTCAACTTCAATAAATTCTAATTCAAATTACAACTCTGCATCCTTCAAATTCTGAAATAGAATTGACAAGTAGAAGGGATTCAAGTGGAGTGGTGCATAATCCCAACACAGTCTCATGAAAATGTGTATCTGTACCACGATTGTCATTTCTCGTGATATTTATATGCCAAAAATGTTTTTTTGTGTGCATATGCTACGCACTGAAAACCCCTTGGGTAGGTTTAGGGGGAAGGGGGGTGGGGAGTTCGTACTTATTATATGCCAAAAAGTGTGTATCATATGCACGCGAAAAACGCGTACCATATACATGCAAAAACTATTTTTGGCATATAAATGGCACTAGAAATAACATTCGTGTTATAGATACGAACTTTCATGAGATCGGGCTCATAATCCTGCTCTGAAGCTACTAATTAATCTAGAAATAAAGTATATGCATAAGTGATGTGGCATATTTTAGGCGTTATGGTTTTTAACTACAGTTAAATTAGACACAAGCGGTATCCCACAATACACTCACTAGTGCTTAACTAACAGCACTTTACGTCAGTACAGCACAAGACATTGTCAAACCACTCATTTGAGCTTAATAGGTCATGAGCCAACGAGCATTCAGATCTCCTGCCAGCTAATGTGTACTTAATGAATGAGCAAACCATCCAAATGGTAGAACCCACCTTTGTGTGTATGAATGTGCGTGTGAACGTAATTGCATTGCTTTGCGGGTGTGCAGCAGACACATCTGGTGCTTATGGCATATGGACATTAATCACCAACATTAACACTTCATCCGTTAGGGCACAGACGGTCTGGTGTGATTCCTCAGGTGAAACATGTGCTCACCTCCAGCTCAGCTGTTAGCTTGTCATCGTCGCCCTCTTCTCGCTCTCCACCAGCGATGGTCGGAGGGGTGGAGGCCGATCGGGGGGCTTCGGATATACTCCTCCGCAGCTTAACCTGTGGCTTCAGAGACTCGCTCTCCTCTGATTCTGACTTCTGTTTACATGCACAAATATAAAAAGGACAAATCTGAAAATACAATATGCACTTTAAATATTTTTTTCTTTTGAAATAAGTTTGATGTACTATGGAGACATACTCTTTGTATATACATAAACAATGACCACAAAAATTATTTTATATGGACTGTTTCAATAAAAAACATCCGAACAAGAAAATATTGAATTAAATAACTAATCAAGCTGTATTTATATTAACTAACATTAACAACGATTAATAAACACTGTAACTAATGCATTGCTCATCGTTAGTTCATGCATTTACTAATGTTAACTAATGAACCTTATTGTAAAGTTTTACCCAATTAATGAATTAATTGATCAGTATTATGAAATATAAATATTTATGCATTTATGTGTAAATGTATGCATGTATGAATGAACTAAAACGGCTGTTTTGACTAACATTATAATTGACTTCCATGAAATTATAACACAACGCCTGCAAATGTGCAGAATATGTCTCATTGTAAAGTAATAATTAAATCTTGATTAATAGTAAACACAAGGGAAATTAACACACAGAACCAACTAAATCTTTTTAATCTCTTTCAAAGTCACCTGTTACCATCGGGTGATTTATCACCACAGGAACAGCTAGGGTGATAAAGAAAATATCAACCATAACTAACACACCCACAAACACAGGTGGCTTTTATGAGATGACTGACATTTTTGAGACCCTGCACTCAAATAAAAGTGATGTAGTGCGTTCCCCTTATTCCTCTCTGTGTGTTTCTCCTTCAGGAACAGCTCGCATATACATGTTTGAGCAAGTTTGCATGCACAAATGTGTGTGTCATGTATTTCTGTATGTTGCCAGTCACCTTCATAATCTTTCCAGGCATGATCATCTCTCCACTGCGTGTAGTAAGCCCAGGGGAGGAGGGGAAACTCCGGCGGGGAGGTGGAGGAGGGGGTGATTTTGAGGGCTTCTCTGTACGATACCTTGCCACTGTCAGTTCATCCGAGCCTCTTCTGGATCCGCCATCTTTACTGGAGAGTTTATGTTGAGGTTTATTAGGCCTGTGTTCAGGTGTGGCATTGGTGCTAGATGGACTCTGGCTCTGGTTTTGGTTTTGGTTTTGGTTTTGATTCTGGTTCTGGTTCTGAGCAGGTTTGATCTGCTTGGCGGCAAAGTCCAAGTCAGGAATGGCCTTCATGAGCTCAGCCTGAGTCTCCTCCAATAGTCGATTAATGTCCTGAGCACTGTACTGTGTTAGACTGGCCCTCTTCTCTTCCCAGTCCCGCTCTGCTGCCTGAGGAGACACGCAGATGAAATTTTATAAGATCATTAGTGTTTAAAAACAGCTAGTAAACAACTTCCACTGTTAAAGCCTTTTCATGCCAAGAGCGAATTTTCAGCTCTAAAAACATTCAAAAGATTTTAAAAGCTAACTATATACAGTACTGTTTAAAAGTTTGGGGATTGTAAGATGTTATATTATAATGTTTTTGAAAGGAGTCTCTTGTATTCACATCAAGACTGCATTTATCTAATCAAAAATACAGTAAAAACAGTATACAGTAAGTGCGAAATATTATTACAATTTAAAATAATAGTAATTTAGCTCTGTGATGTCAAAGCTGAATTTTCAGCATCATTACTCCTTGATCCTTCAGAAATCGATCTAACATACTGATTTAATGCTCATTTCTTCTTATTATCAATGTTTAAAACAGTTGTGCTGATTAATATTTTGCGTGGAACCATGATAAGTGATTTTTGCAGGATTCTTTGATCAATAGATAGTTTTTTTTAAAACAAATCTTTTGACACGTTTGAACAATTTGATGCATTCTTGCTCAATAAAAGTAGTCATTTCTTTCAAAAGAAAAAATAGTTTGAATTGCAGTGTATCTCTATGAACCCCATCACATAAGTTCTGTCACTTTTCCACAATGAGCATTTCTAATCATAAATTAAATTGTTGTCATTCTTTTCAGCGGCTTGAATAGTTTACTTGAAAACTTTTGCTTGAATACATGAATACTTTATTCAGAATGATTTTTACCTGGGAATAAATGTTTTAAAGGAGAACTCCAGGCTATTTTAACATTGAGCTCATTTTTTTGTACATTTGGAGTGCTGTCGAAAAATCGGTGTTGCCTACGCCGTGTTATCGTCTTTTTAAAATTCGCACCCTGCTGACTTCAATGGGGCATGTTATAAACCTGCTTTTAGCCTCTTAACATCCTTGATTTGTCATTATGAGTGCACAGCCATGTGAGTGGTGTTATTAAAGGGTTAGTTCACCCAAAAATGAAAATTCTGTCAGTATTAACTCACCCTCATGTTGTTCCAACCCCGTAAGACCTTCATTCATCTTTGGAACACAAATTAAGATATTTTTGATTAAATCTGAGAGCTGGATCACTCCTCCATACTAGTCCATAGGCTTCTTGAGGGATTGAAACTTGCCGGCCTCGTTTATCAAGTGACGAGAACACTTTTTGTGGGCAAAAAACAACAAAAATAACAACTTTATTTCAACCATTCATTTACTTCTCTCTCTGCCTCGAGTCAGTTATACTTATATAGTCACTATTATTATAGTATAATAGTGTAAGCTTCTGTTATTGTACGTAACACGCATCACACACATGACCAGCGTCGGCCAATAGTGAGCCTACGTGTGACGTAGCTTTACGCAATCACACTACGTTAACTGACTACAGGCGCATAGAGAAGTAAATGAATAGTTGAAATAAAGTTGTTATTTTTGTTTGTTTTTTGGCACAAAAAGTATTCTCGTCGTTTGATAAAGTTAAGATTGAGACACTGTAGTCACTTGGACTATTTTAACGGAGTCTTTAATACCTTTTCGAGGCCAGCAATTTTCAATTCCACAAGAAGCCTATGGACTAGTATGGAGGAGTGATCCAGCTCTCAGATTTAATCAAAAAATATCTTAATTTGTGTTCCGAAGATGAACGAAGGTCTTACGGGGTTGGAACAACATGAGGGTGAGTAAATACTGACAGAATTTTCATTTTTGGGTGAACTAACCCTTTAAGAGTGACCACGGTCAATCTGACTGCAGTAGATGTGAATGATATGAATAAAAATGATGTTAATTCAGCCAGCTCGCATACCTCTATTTGCTTCCTGTTTTCAGTCGAAGCCCACAGTAGTCGATTTTTGAGTTCACACACACGATCATTGGTGAATATCGTCTCTGGTAGGTTTGAGATGATATTCACTAATGATCGCGTGCGTGAGATCGACAATCGACTACTATGGGCTTCGACCGAAAGCAGGAAGCAAATAGAGGTATGTGAGCTGGCTGAATTAACATCATTTTTATTAATATCTTTCACATCTACTGCAGTCAGATTGACCGTGGTCACTCTTAATAGCACGACTCACATGGCTGTGCACTCGTAATGACAAATCAAGGCTGTTAAGAGGCTAAAAGCAGGTTTAGAACATGCCCCATTGAAGGAACAGAGTGCGGATTTTAAAAAGACGATAACACGGTGTAGACAACACCGATTTTTGTTGTTTTTGTCTGTACTGACAGCACTCCAAATCGTCCCCTTGGAATTATAAGGTTCTATCTGCGTTCTGAACAGTTTTGAGATATTGAGCTTCAAAGTTTTTGCATTCCATATAGGAAAATGTGTATGGGGAACAAGTTTCTTTCAAACATAAAAATAATAACAATAACAGGGACCCTAAATGTACAAAACACATCACATAATGTAAATAAATTGTCACAGAATAAGAATATGTGAATAACTCAATTTTGACAAAAATGTCAGATAACCTTATAATTCCAAGGGGACGAAATGTACAAAAAAATGAGCTCCATGTTAAAATTGACCAGAGTTCTCCTTTAAATGTTAAAAATATACCTAATATAATCAAATCGGACCTTACATATTAAAACAACATTCCTAAATTAAAAAAGGTATTCATATTCCATACATTTAAAACGCAATTATTCAACAGATGAACAATTCCTCGCATCTTAAATCTAATTCCTCACCAGTCTCACTTCCACAGACGAGGCCTTATCAGTCCCGCCTCGCCCCCCCAGCTCCTCCAGGCCCCGTCCCTTCAATGAGCCCACCAACCCATGAGAATCTTTCTCCCGGTGAGCATGAGACGGGTTAGAGTGAGCGTGGCATTGACCCGAGTGAGGGCTCCAGTTAGCCAGGCTGGTCTCATTGAGGTTTAGCGGTGGGCTGGTTGGAATGTCAAAGTCTGAGTTCTTCCTGTAATCGTCCCCTCCTCCGAGTTTAGGAGAGGGGCTGGAATACTCATCCTGGGCTTTCCATACTCCCTCATTCACCTGCCTGATTAAACCATATTATAGCACTCAAAATGATGACGAGGAAATTGAGACAGAGTCAGACCATGTGGCTAGACAAGGAATGATTCAATCATTGCAGTCAGTAAGTGTTTGTCTACCTCCTCAGTGTGGTGAGAGTTTCCGTGATCGATTTGCAGCGTTTAAGTAGGGCGTCCAGTCTGTGTGGCTCCTCTTTCAGGAATTTCACGGCTTCCACTTCCACTCGTAACACCACCCGCATTTTACTCTGGAGCCCTGGGAACTGATCTGAAAGAGAGAGACCAATAGGAAAACAGTGAACGAGCACCGCTGACTCTCTCTTCTGTAACTAAACAAAGCTGAGGTTCAAGTGTCTGGATGTGAAGGACAGAAATGAGTCTCACTCTTCAGCTCTGTAAGAGTCTCTCCCAGTTTCCGCAGCAGCGAGCTTTTCTCCTCCAGCTCCTGCACTGTCACATGTCGGTGACTGACGGACATCTCCTTTTGGATTTCCTCCACTGACTTTTCCAGATCACTGTCAACACAAACATCCTCTCATTAGTTTTTTGACATATTGATTGTTTCAGAAAAAGCATGGTTTGTTAAATGTCACTGAATAAATGACGACTTATTACTGGAAGTTATTACACAGAAGGGAATCTAGCACTTTTTGATGTTTATGACATTTAAAAGTGCAAAAATGTAGAACGAGACGAGTGAAAATCCCAAGCCCGCTACAGCGTCGGCACGCATTTGAATAAGTGTCAGTGCAGCAGGGTGTATAAGCACTAAACGACAGAGACACAGTCGGAGTGTTTACACTCAAAATCCAATTTAACCACGTCAAATAAATCCACCGACCACAAAATGGTTTGTTACAAACAGCGTCACGTTAATAATTGAATCGCATCAACTGGCAGTTAGCTATACTTAATAACCACTATCAATTAAAAGCAACACGACTGATCTGGCAGTGAGTTGAAGAGGAGGATTTAGTCACCCCGCTGGCTTTAATTGGAACAAAATAAATCAATGCAATGCGGTCCGTTGTTGAGGGTCTGCAGGTCTTTAACTGAGACTGTTTATACCTCATTGCTATGCATATTTTCACTTTCAGGTATGAGTTGATTAAAACCTGTGCAATAAAAATAACTGGAATTTTTTTTTGCCCATTATGCAGCAATGGCACTACGCTAGCACCCCAGAACGGCATTATCAGCACATTATGAGCACATATTGTGTGTGAGACGCACTGCAGTTGCTGTATGATGAGTTCTTCCTCGTTCAGGTACTTGAGTCTCTCCTCTTCCACTAGAAGGCGCTGTCTCTGGAGAGGGTCTTCCTGTTTTCTCAGGGCATCAGACAGACGCAGACTCAGCTCGGTCTCTGTCCGTTTCAACATACTGCGTATGGAGTCCTGGTTCTGCAACTATACACAAACACAGACATTTTAAGAATGACCTACAACATTGTTACATTTGCTTAAAGGGATAGCTCATCCAAAAATGACAAGATGCAAACAAACACAGTTTTTGTCCATACAGTTAGAGTTAAAGAGGGGCACAACATCTTTGAAGCCCACTTTCATTGTACAGACAAAAAACAGTGGAAACATTATTAAAATACAGAAGAAACTTCTTAAAGAAACATTGTGTGTTCCAGAAAAATTAGAGGTCATACAATCTTTTGACAAAATCAAAATTGAAATGCTTAAACAAACCATTAAATCAACAACTATCCATCTATTCGTTCTCCAAATCGCTTGAAAGAACACTTGAAACTTATGGAATCACAAAATGAATCATAGTTAATTCATTACGTTTCTGTTAATAAAATTTGAAAATAAGTAGATTTTCATAATTACAGCAGGAATACTTTAAATATTTAGTTAAAAGTCAAATAGTTTGAGAACCACCGCTCTGAAGTGATTTATACAATAAGACATGTTCCTGGATTACCTTCCTATATTGTTCCAGGAGCAACATTCATTTCAACCAATCACGTCCAGTCTAGGGTAAGTGTAAGGCTATAAATGGTTGTTTAGCATTACGGTCTTCAGATGTTTCAGGTTCAGGTTCATGTTCAGCATTTTACAGAAGGTCAACTGTCACAATCTTTCACAACACAGCCATCAGATGACTCATACGTAACATTGACCTGTCTTTGACCATATGCAGCTGTCACATTGAATAAGAAGGTATCATAGAATTGACCTTGCAAGATTGTGTGTTTGTGTGTGAATACAGCATAAGTGTGTTCGCACAGCATGTCCTTGATAGTGTTAACGATGGATATAATTCAAATGCCGTAATGACTTTTTGTAAATGCGCATCCATTTTCTAGTATTTTACATCAGTGTATGTTGAAGGACTTGTGGTAGTTGGAATGTCAGACATCACCATTATTTTGTGATGTGTCAGCATTCTGCACACAGTGTTTGTTTGCCCTGAGAGGAAAACCGGCTGGACTTTGTCACTTGCATAGTGCCGATAATGAGAAAAGTGTGTGAAACTGTGTTTTTGTGCACTGTACATGTGTGTGTGCGCACTCCGATTTTAGTACCGTTTGGTGGTAGTTCCTCCTCGAGCTGAATTATTTATGAGTCTCATGCATTATTCAACATATCCATGTCTCCTAGGAAACAGGATGAGGGCAGGGGCCGTGTCTCGAGCTCTGGCATTCAGGCAGGTAATTGTCTAACTCAGCAATCTGCTGTTGTCATGACACCAGTGGCTTGGCTCTCGACACCAAAGCAATTGACACCAATCTCTCCATCCCCATGTGGCGTGCTCCCGGACTGTCACAACATCTACTCTATTCTTCCATCCATTTGCCTCTTAGTCTTTCAACTCACATCCACCCTAAAATTGGGGTGGATTATTATACGTTCCTGAACTGCAGAAATTCATCTCAATGAGTTTAATCAGACTTATTTTCCCAGTTTACCAAGAGAAGTAGCATTGCATAAGATATTAAGGATTTTCATGGATTGGATCTTTAATACACTTTACACTTCTTTATACTTAAAACAAGTGAATCTGCAAATCTGCCAGTGCAGTAAGACACAATATACTGTAAAAAAAGTTGCTGCCATTATTTTTTTAAGAACAATCAACTTGGATGTTTAAGTCAGTTCAAGTTGAATTGCATTAAAACGAGTTGAATCCAGAATCCAACTTATTTTGGTGATTTAAAGCAATGTTAAAAACATGTTGTTATAATTTATTGATCATATGATTTTTTACAGTGTACAAGACACAATTTATGAAAATAAGTCTTAATGTCTCATCTAGTGTTGCTTCTACAGTAAATGTATCTTGTTTTAAAATTGTATTTTAAAGCAGCACTCTGTAGTTTTTTCAACCTTTATAATATTTTTCCAAAACCCTGGAGATGGTACATCAACTTACAATAGGTTGAATGACAGATCTGCCATAGCGTAACGATGTCTCTATCGCTTTTACTGGCACTATGTAACTTCGAGGTGCGGGTACGAACCCGAGCACAAAAAGAACTACAAAATTTGACCGCTTTACGGCATACGTCACTTCCTCAAATTCCGACGCGAGAGCCCAATGAGCGTTTTTTTTTTTTTTACCTCTTTATGTTGTCATGGCTGAAGCAGCAAGTAAAACCAAATGTGAAGTGCATCAGAAACAGAGCACGCGGGCATTGTGTACCCCTTACGGCACTGGTCCTGGCTTTTGTTCACACAGCGCGCGTTTCGGAACTGATTCCGGCAATGTTACTAGGTCCCCAACCCGGCATCGATGAACACACAGAAGGCGTTCTGGCAATTTCCCGGCAATTTACCGGGATCAACGTGCTGTGTGAAAGGGGCTTATGCTAGCTTGATATAATAATATTGACGACATGGCTATTATTTACCAACAAACATTGAACTGAATTAGCATATCCATTTTGTAAAACAGTAGCCAATAGGCTAACGTTACTATAAAGACGCTGGCTTGTAAATGTGAGCTACGCGATTTTTTGACGTTTGAAAAAAAATAAGGCCCATGAAACTATATTCATAAAACGTGAAATATATGCCAATGTACCTGGGATGAAGACATTTCACACCCAACACTGGCAGTCTGCCAAAGATGAAAGAACTCCTTCCTTCTGCAGAGTTCGGGGGTACCGCTTGTCAACAAACGCACGCGTTTATTCCCTAGTATAACCATGACAGATTTTACAACAGGAGTAGAAGACAATACTGTTTCCCAACTGTAGGGGGACCCCGAGAGCAAAATTGAAAAAATAACATAATAGGGCTTTAACTGAAAAAAAGAGTGCAGTTTTTGCATGGGATTGTGTTTATTTTGCAAATGCAGATTTTGAATGGCTACATGGCCTACTCTGACCTATTTTTAGAAATACAGTAGGGTCCAAAAGTCTAACACCACATAACAAATCTCATGGTTGAAAATTCCATATAAACCTGGAAATAAAAGATTTTGAAAAAGAAACAATAAGGAATATTTAAGATTCTGCAGTCTTTCTGTCCCTAATCGAATAAGCAAAACAGTTGCATTAATCATGTGAACTCTGTCGTACAAAATATCAAATTTTCTTGCTCCAGACAGCCTTCATTTTCACTTTTTCTACTCTGTTTATTTAGAGAGTTCACGGGTGAGATGCAGGTGTTCACTCATGAATCACACTGGTTGCTATCATTCCCCAGTCAGTTTTCATTAAAGCACTGCTGACTGAAAAGCTGACTTGATTTGAGGCCAGCACCCTCTCTCTCTCTCTCTCTCTCTCCATCTTTGCATCCCTGCTGGCCCACACCATCTCATCATTGAGTATGATATTAAGAGTTATTACCTTCACCGCTATAGGAGTGATTCACACACAGCAGCAGCCGGGAAATGAATGACTAGTTGAACATGCTTGCTTACACATAACACTCACACTCACTTATACATAGTAGTGTAATAAATACAGTGTTCCCACACGTTTTTGATAAATGAACTTCTATGACTTAACATTTTTATAGTCATGGTTCTAAAATATGCTCTGTGTATACCCTACTTTTCAAATGTATGTGGTCAGTAAGACTTTTTAATGTTTTTGGAAGTCTCTCTAAATAAACAGAGTAGAGAAACTGGAAATGAAGGCTCTACAGAGACTAAAATCATTTATTTCCAGGTTTATATGGAATTTTCAACCATGAGATTTGTTATGTGGTGTTCGACTTTTTCTGCAGACAAATAATATTAGTGAAGGTAACACAACAAAGTACACATTGTTCATTTATATACTGGAGATATTGTTACAACGCAAAGCTGTTTGATAAACCTGCAAACTTATTCTTTGAGTCATTTTGTGTTATTTTGGATCCAATCCGTTCAAAGTGGTCTCCGACTTTTAGACCCTACTCTATCTTTGTATCTTATTAATAACATCAGAAACACAATAAAAATGCTCAAAACATTTTAACAGGTTTGATTTTATCATCCAGTCCTTTGGTTTTGAATGTAGAAGTGTGCAATGCACACTAACTTTCCATACTGAACCCTTAACAATGAATTTCTTCCTCCACACCACACACACACTGAGCTCCAACAGGACATAAAGCAAATCTGCTTTAAAACCCTGCTGTGTGTAAATAAATCACACCGTGAGATAACGTGAAGACTACAAATCAGGGCTGCTGTTCCTGCCGTCTGTACCTTCTGTACCACCTTCTGTATCACCTCCTTAAATCGTCCTCCGTGTCAGCAGGCAAACATCGAGATGGTTTGCAGTGTGACATGCAGGTTAGTACAATCCTTCATACCTCAGCATTGCTAGGTTTTTGATTCTGATTGATTACCACACATTTCAAGGTGCTGATTAATATGGCTACCAAGTATTTACAGGTTTGCTGATCACGTTACAGTTAACTTCGAAGCCAATGTCAAGTGATAAGCACATGTGCAAGTGATTTCCGTGGAATAATTGACTCTGAACTGCTTGAGTGTTGAAATTTTAATCCACACCTGAGGTGTAACAGGCAATTGGATTTGCGTCATGCCACATTCCGACCTCAGGTATGCATTAAGTTTTCAAAATTACAGCGGTACATCATCAATAACTCCAATTTCGAGAGGTCTTGTGATGATATGTCAATGCCTGACCTTCCAACTGTGCCACAGTGTGTTTCTACGATTGAGCAGTTCAAAAATGCAACAATCATAATGTATAATAGCTATCAAAATAAAGTGATTTGGGGCAGGATTTTGTGCAATGTGTGACCATTTCCATTGATCCTGTAAGAGTTGTGTGCTCAATAGACAGGAGTGAAATTATAAAGTTTTGAGCATTAGGAAATGTTTGTGTCCTCAACAACACTGAGCTGAATAATGACACTATTGTCTTCTGTAGAGCTGCTTAAAGCTGAATTGAATTTGTTTCATAATTGATGAATTATGCAACATTAACACTGTTATTTTCTTGTTTATTAATGTGACTTGACTTGTTTTAGAGCTAAATGCCACAATAAGCCATTAAATGACAGCCAATCAGAAGACCTTTGAGGTTTAATGAAATTTTTTAATATCCAGCTATGCCGAGCAGGATTCGGACGGTCACCCGCAGTGAAGACAAAAACTCAGATAAACATGAAAGAGATGTAATTTATCGCATGCCGCTTCAACGCGTCATGCCTGTTTTAGTGCACGGCATTGCATGAGATTGTATGTTTTAGTGTGAAGTGTTACCTGCATTTTACGGAGCTGTGAAAGCTGTTTGCGCAGATCGGTGGCGTTCTGTTGTAAGTCGTGCAGGTGAAGCTGCATCTGTAGCCTGGAGACGGTGGAGGCCTGAGAGCCCCCAGATGAAGGCGGAGGCATCAGTGCCAGCGGGGCAGATGGAGTCAGTGCTAATAAGCACAACACAGGACAAAAAAAGAAAAAAGAAAGAGAAAATCAACACTGTGAGCTTGAAAGACACTCAATTAAATATAAATTAGTTCGCACTTACCCATCTACACCTTCTAAACCAGCATTATTTAGTCCTGCTTCTAGAGTTCGACCTTCCAACAGAGTTTCTGCTGCGTTCATGTAGCAATGAATGCAACCATTAAGTCATATTTCATAGCTTTTTAGTAAATAATGCCTTCAAGTGCACCTGGGAAGCTCATACAGCCAAGTTAGACAATTGCTATTGCGATCTCACACATATAAGGTAAAAACACAATATGGAATATTGTGAATGAATCAGTGGATAATCATATGTAAATACTCCTGATTTACTTTTACACAACTAACAGACAAATAATTAATATGCAAAAAGCAAACAGTTAAAAGTGATAGGATTTTATTTTTTGAAAGAACTATTTTTATTTGATCAAAATACAGTTAAAAAACTGTTTTCTATTTTTTTGATCACATGATCCTTCAAACACCATTCTAATGTGATGATTTACTTCTCAAGAAAAAAGAAAAAAAAGAATTTTTTTTTATCAATGGTGAAAACAATGTGCAGATTAATATTTTTGTGGAAACTGTGATATTTCCCACCTGAAGATCACATAAGCCCAAACATTTCAAGTTGAGGGCAGGTCAATTAAATAATTACAGCAGATATTTACTATTCATAATACGCTTTGAATGTTAATGGTGCAATATAGTTTCTAGTACATATTCTGCATACTAAATTTGAAAAATTATAAAGCTTGCCAGAAAAATATTTAGCAATGTGCATTTCCCATCATTCTCCCTGAAAGCACGGGATGGTAAAATACACAATTACACACCTAATTTGCATCCTTTGCTCTTTATTTTGTTTCATTATCTCTAAAAAGCTTTCTGTCTAAGTTGGTAAGTGAAAATAAAGAGAAAGAAATATAAAATTGCCCAGTGAGTTTATTCGACCAAAATCACTTCATGTCATAATTACGATTTCCGAACTTGTAAGGAGGAACTTCCCAGGAGAAAGAACACATCATTATTTCCAGCCCTGTCTAAAACAGCTGGCTGTAATTTCAATCAAGTGAACCCCATGACCTTGGCTAGCTGGATTGTGTGCGTTTGATTAGGATTGAAGCTAAACTCTGCGGGAAGGAAGATCTCCAGAAACCGGATTTAGCGCTTTTGCTCTACACCCATCCTTCCTTGTGTTTTCAGACAGAGATACACTAACCCACACACACACAAAGCATGTCGTCACCTCCAGGGTCCACTGAGGAACATGCCGTTAGTGAGGAATACCAGCCAGCACTCTCCAGTCAGTCGTTTTTAACAAAAGGGTACATGTACTGATTCCCTAAGATTAGGAAAATCTTTCATTGTGTGAACGTGTCAAGTTTAGGAGTGAAAACAGACTGAGGGAGAGAAATATTTAGTGCAGGCAGGCCATAGAGGATAGATACTGTAAAAAGCTACAGTGGGAACAGGCATTAAATAAGCAGAAGAATCACATTTTCGTAAAAACAGACACGCACACTACATACACCGGGAAAGACACGCCAATGCACATTAAACATGAGACAGCAGAGACAAGGCTACCTTTCTTCTTCAGCCGGCCAGCTGTAACATACAGTAGAAGCTGTCAGCTTGTTCCAGTTAACTAAATAGGCATAATGAAGTAAAGAAACAGAGTGCTGAATGGGACCTGTTGTAGATCAGATTCAAAGGGGGAGACTCTTGGGAAACCCTCATGGGATACACTTTCGATGGCCCTTTACTGAGGCGCGAGTCGATTTAGCGAGTTCTCACCTCTCAAAACGACAAGAATCTTCAAAGACAAATCTAGCAAATCAAAGATCTATAGCAGCAGCCTCTGAAGGGCTGACCACTCAGAAGACGTTCTCTGAGGACACCCGTTGCAGATTTGAGAAGGAGAACGAGGAAAAACAAAATTGAAAACGGAGAAAAAAAAGTACTGAAGTCTACTCTATCCGTGAAAACATGAAGGATATTCTGACAAAGAAGAACAAAGGAGTGAACACACCTTCGTTCAAGTGAACTCTGATAAAGAATGTCATGTCTGGTTGTTTTAAAACATCCAAGCCAAAGGCCTGTTTGAGATCATCAGTGTTTCAAACTTGGGCCAGCCTGATCTACTAAGAACACACAGTATTAAAGATAGCAGACATTAGTTTTGCCTCACGACTGCTCTGGACAACCATAGAGAAGTAGCTGGACTCACTTCCTGTGGCGGAGCCGTCGCTGGTGGATTCGGTCTTCTCGCTGGAAGAGAAAGGGAAGGGCCGTGAAAAGTCCGCCCCCTGGTCCGGAGGGCAGCCCGCCATCATGCAGAGACGCAGCAGGCCGCATCTGAGGATCATACAGCCATGATACTACTACTGTACTACAGCACCTAACACTACACTGACACTACACTACTCTAGCATGCACTGTTCTACAGCTATACTACACTGGCCTCCTCCGAGCCTAATAATGGGTTATATCTTGCTTTACTCTACCAAGGCACTGCTACTGCTACACACTTTACAATTCCTCTGAGTAACACATCTTAATGTTCACATCCACATCTAAAACTGTTCAAACATGTTCACTACCATTCCAAAGTTCGTGGTAAAATACATATTTTTATTCAGCAATGATGATCAAAAGAGTCATGACATTTAGAATGTTACAAAAGACTTCAATTTCAAAATAATTATATTGATTTCTATTAATTAAAGAATCTTGAAAAAGCAGCACAAATGTTTTCAACATGTTTCTTTAGCAGCAAATCATCATGTTAGAATGATTTCTGAAGGATCATGTGAAACTGAAGACTAGAGTAATGACATCACATTTTTGATCAAATAAAGGCAGCCTTGATGAGCATAAGAGACTTAGGCCTATTTCTAACACATTAAACAGATCCCAAACTTTTGGATGGTAGTGTATTAGAACTGAGGTATTCAACCCAATAATCTACTGAGATTCATATTGAACTAGCTACCTTTATAATCGAAAACTTCAAATGCTATGTTCCACCACAACTGGCTTTGATGATGTAAAAGAATGAGCAATGGACGCCCAGGGATTCAGTAAGACCTACTGACTCACACTATCTTTAAGACCAGCTGTATTCACACCAAATCGCAATTATGAGCACAAAACTGAAACAAAGATTTGAAACAAAATCCTTCTAAAAAAACAAGTGAACATGTTTGCACTGTGATTGTCTGATTTATTAAAAAAAATGTCTATTTAAAAAAATACAACTTCAAACTACTTCACTAAGCAACAGTTTTTGCATCAGGCGTAGTTTTGCGTCAACGGCTTCTATCCTAACTCTACCTAATATTAACTATAAACCCTATTTACTGAATTTTGTCTTTGTCTCATTTATTTCTAAGTCTCTACTCGACACTTTGACCTCAACACTCTCTTTTGTAGGTAATTATCGAAATAATAATAATTTCCTTACATACTGTCAAATAAGTTGGCGTGAATGACTTGTGAATGACAGCAACATCAAAACACCAGTACAAAGAGACTCATGGCGATACCACCAGCACACACAATTTCAATACAAGCACTTAAAATCCAGCAAGTGAAGACATATTGACAAGTGTTTGAAACATAAGAAAAGCCGATGCCTACATAGCAAACATGAGAGCTTAGGATATTACTGCATGAAAGCAAAATGGTTCCATGCTAACAACACTGAGTATGTGTGAAATGGTTTATTGCATCATGTAAACTGGTATTTTTGTTAAGTGCATTTCACAAGGTACGCAGGTACACATGAGAGGTAGTATGGACCGTGTTAGTATAACAGTACTCACTACTGCTTTAGCTCTATGCTAGAGAGCAAAAACAGGCTGCATCTCTGATTTAAATACAGTAAATACTGCTTTTCATGTTGCATGACAAAAACTTACTTAAATGCCATTTATTAGTGCCATAATCACCAAAAAAGTGATATTTCCCCATAAAATAACTTGACCTGGGAAATCGCACTTACTCCGTACCATGTGCAATGACGTTTATGTGTCAAATGTTTAATGAGATTGCCACATCAGAAGCCTGTCATGGCTGATGGTCTGCATGAGTGAGATGACTTGTATAGGTTGTTTTTTTTTCAGCGTGAATGAGCATCTGATTGGCTCTGGTTTCATGTAAATGAATCATAGATGGCTCTGTGGGTGTACGTCTTACGTGCTGTCGCTGTCTGGTGCTCGGGTTAGGACGCTCTGAACCAGTCCAGTCAGACTGGCTATCTGCTTCTCCATTGCCTCCATACGATCCCTGCTAACAAGACAAACAAAACATTGATAAGTTACACTTTTTAATTTTCCAGGGGGTTTCACTTAAAGCTAGTACAATCCTAACAATATGAATAGAAAAAAGAACGAAAAAATCCATTCACTCTATTGGCTGTACAGGCGCAGAAAAGTTGACCAATGTAAGCTGTGCGGCTGCACAGCTTATATTGGTCAACTGCTCTCATCCAATCACCAGCTCCACTTGAAACTCCGCCTGGCCCCCTCCGTGCGCGAGCAAACAGCTGACAGACTGTCTATGGTAGCTAGCTAGTAGCGTCAGATCAGCAATGGATAAAGCAATGGATAAAAATATAAACGACAACAGCAAGCGGCCCCTGCTTGCCCCTACTGTAAAGTTTGGACGAAAGAGAAAGTCTGTGGAGGAAAGATCAGACATTAAATAGAAATGTGAAGAGCGCCGGACTCTAAGTAGGATAAATATAGCGTCCTTCATTGACCGTTGGAGAAAGCTTCAGGGAGATCTGGGACTGAAAACAACGCTGACACGGATGACTTTTTGTTGAGCAGGTAAACATTTATTTGTTCTTTTATGGTGTGACGTGTTACGTGGCTTTTTATCAGTTTGACAACTTGCTCATGCTGCCGGTCGGCATTGGAATGTTAGCCGTTTAGCATCGCCTATCACGGGTCAAATTAATTATATTTCCTGTTCGAGGTTTCTGTTCGAGCCGATCGGAATTTGAACAAGATGCGCTGCGTGCTGCAATAACAATTACTGAAAACCTTAGCAATACTAGTAGTATTATGGTGGTGGGGAGTTTAGAACATTTCATGTGTTGCTAATCTTGCATTGATGTGAACTCAAACGTGACATACGTCAGGGATCAGGTGTGTGTGGAGGGGCAGGATGAGTTTTTTTATAACATCGTATACCATAGCTTTAAATGTTCTCCTAAATATTATGGAATGGGGATGGGATGTTTTGAAACATTTTTATTCATAAAAATAAATCATGAGAAGATGAACTTCATCACTGCATTTGCAGGAATTGTAAAATACTTTTTCTTATTAACTCATGAAGTCGCCTAACGCAATATTTTTACTTTAATAGCTTATCTTTTCCCACACATATGGAATGTGATCATGCACAACGAAAAAAAATGCTATTAATAAATGAAGGAAATATATCAGCCTCTGCTGAACACGGATTGATAGCAAAGTTAAACCATCACAGTACAATTATCTGTGGTGGAATTGGCCTGATTCGCCAAAGTAGCGCATTTTAAAATAAAATTGACTGTAATCAAACCACAGACCCATGATAAGTTTTACTCTGAGGGGGGGATAAAAATAATTAAGCAGAGGCAGGGATACATTGACCAGAAAGGGGGAAATCCCACGCTGCTGCTCGTCAACGAGCCCAAAAGGGCCCACGTAACTTCTCTGTTCATCTCCCTGCACTGGCTTCCAGTCGCTGCTCGAATCAAGTTCAAGGCGTTGACACTTGCTTACAGACCACTGGCTCAGCTCCCTCTTACTTTCACTCGCTCCTACATCTCTATCAGAAGCCTACGATCGATCAATGAGCGACGGCTCATGGTACCATCACAGCGAGGCACAAAATCACTCTCCAGAACATTCTCATTCACGTTTCCATGCTGGTGGTGGAATGATCTGCCCATCATCATCCGGAATGCAGAATCCCTGACAGCATTCAAAAGACAACTGAAAACTAATCTCTTCCGTGAGCACTTAACATAAAAAAAAAACAATATTCTTTAAATCCTTACTTGCCTGGTTATGCTACTCTGAGCAATGTTTGAACTTTGTATTTTGAGCACTTCTTGTGTTGTTTTCGCCTCTTCACGATGACTTGTTTGATTTAGTCCTCAGATGTAAGTCTCTTTGGATAAAAGCGTCTGCTAAATGACTAAACGCACCCAGGCAAAATCACACCCAGGGTGTAACCATCAAGTAAACAGTTATAGTTTTTTTTCTAAAGTTTTTTTCAAAATGTTTTTCAAAATACTGTAAATTTTTAAGATTTACAGTTCAAAGAGACATGGCATGTAACATTTTATAACCTAATTTCCTGTTTTTTGGTTGCACCAACTTAAAAAAAAAAAAAAAAAAAAGGCAGTAAAGTGGTTTTGTAAAAACCGAAAAAGTTGTAAATGTTTATTCATTACTACACCCCAGTTGAAAAGTTTGGTGTCCGTTAAAAAAAAAATTAATATTTTGATTAATAAAGGATGCATTCAGCTGATTAACAGTAACAGTAAAGACAATTATAATGCTGCAAAACATTTTTATCATCATATTAGAATGATTTCTGAAGGACCATGTGACACTGAAGAGTTGATGATAGCTTTGCCATCACAAGAATAAATTACATTTTACACTTTTAAAAAATATTTTATATACCCATTAGTGGTCAAAAGTGATGTCGGAGGGGATTTGTTTTAATGGCCCTAAAATTCTGATTAAACCATCAAAATATGAGAAAAATATTTTAAATATGAGGGAAGAACAGGGTATTTATATGACAACATTCTTATTTTATATGAAACATCTTTCAAAGCTATTTAATTTTTTTGTACATACACCAAACTTTTGAACAGTCATGTGCTCAAGGATCTTTCTATCTGGCATTTGCAGTGATACATTCTGCTTATTAATTTGTTTGTTCAGAGTCTTTAGACTGATGTACATTTCTTGTCAAAGAAAAAGTGCATAAATGTCCACAAACTCACAGCTACCACATGCATGCATATATACATACATTTCCAGTGCTTACCGTGCGTCCGTCTCGCCCCCAGACAACTGCGACCCAAATCCAGGTCCCTTACTCCCATCTCCTAGGGGTTCAGAACTGGAGCTGGGTCTGGACTTAGGACTCTCTACGAACACAGAAGAGGAAGCGGAGTCCTTGCGGAAGGTCGTTCTCACAGGTGACCCTCGGCTTGGAGATCCGGTGAATGAATCCCGTTCACGCAGCTGCACATCGGGAATCTTCTGCGGGGAGGAGGGTGGCAAACGAAAGCCCATGCCGAGCGTAGAGCTGCCATATGTATCAGAGTATAGAGAACCTCCAGGTTTATACAGGCTGTCCTCTAGGTCGCTTTGCAGCGCTGCGGCTGAGTACGTACTGAGAGACCGAACTGAACCTCTGCGGTACAGCCCTCCAGACACAGGGAAGCCGAAGGGGTCAGCGATGGTGGCCAGGGACTGAGTAGAAGCGATACTAAGTCGACCCTCGTGCATCAAGCTGTAGGGATCAGCATAAAGACTTTCATTCTTCAGGAGGACCATGTTTTTGCCAGACATCTCCTCGTCAGGTTTGACATCACGGCGCTCCAGGATGGCCGAGGAGGAGGCGGTTAGGCCTTGAGCCTGTCCGTGAGAGGGAGAAGGGTGGTGGGAGTGGGACGGATGCTGGGAGCCCTGGGGGTGAGGGTGACCCGGGCCAGCGAAAGACGGGGGACGACCTCCGCTGTAGGAGAGACGGGATCGGGAAGGGGAGCCGGAGGAGGGTGAGGCAGTGGAGGAAGGAAGAGTGTTGAGGCGGCGGGTAGGTGACGAGTCCCTGGATGTGTAAACCATCTCCCTCTAAAACAAGACGGAGAAAAAATAATAGCATTTTATGAATACATCACTCTGAGTAACTTAAAGGAGCTGTATGCAAGATTGTGGCCAAAACTGGTACTGCAATCACTTTCAAATTAGGGTGTATCCCCCCCTTCCCCCTTGACTCGAGGTTGCCAGATATAAGAAGCTACCAATGGCAAGAAGCTTCCAATGGCAAGTGACAAGTCCTACACATTGAGTTTTTTTTCTGTTAATTATTTATTTTATGTTAAACATTTTTTTTTATCCGATTCCAACACATTTGTATCTGCAGCTGTGGTAAATAGAGAAGAGCTGGCAACCCAAATGCCGCAACACTACCGACTCTGTGATTGGTAGATCGGTGGAGGGTGACGCATCAGAACAAAACACAACATGACAACATCAACATCAGTCAATGGCTGCGACTGCACTTTTTAATTGACAATATCCTGGCCGGACTACTGTTGTCAGTGATGTAAGTATTTGAAATGAACATGATTTCTTAATGTCTAGTGACATATCAGGGAAAAATTATGATTAATTGAAATAAATTTCGTGCATACAGCTCCTTTAATGAATCCAAGTTCTAGGAGAGGTAAAAGACTGAATACACAAACATAGAAATAACGTAGGGAAGTCATTCCATTTGTGTTCATAACATTTTAAATGACATTATGACATCACTTGTGGAAGTGACATCACTTGTGTTTTCAGGGCAGCCAAGTTCAGTTCTACTCTGATTTAACATTTAGAATTTGTTAGTCATACTTGACAAGATCTGTCAAGCATGACATGTATTTAACTTTTTCTAAAAGTGTTTGTTTTCTACCATTTATAAGAGCAGAATGATTTAACATATTCATTTGTATTCATTTACATTCAGACTGCAGAATAAAATCAATCTGATAGAATGATTAAAATCCTACAGACATTTACTGTAAAAGCCACCTTTCAAAAACTGAAAAGGCATGAGTTTAATAGATTTACTCTGTTACACTCATAGTTCGAAGTGTTAAAGAGATGTGCCAAAAATCATTTAAACATGAAAACGTGGTGCTGACAAATGAAACGTCTCAAAGCAAAAGCAATCCTCTGAGGTTTAGCACGAAACCAAAAGCGGAGCTCTAGACTCATTGCCCCATTCTCTAGTTCTCTCTCACTCTTTCTTTTCATCGGTCTGTAATTCAACTCCGGGGAGCTCTATTCACCCTATTCCCTCCTTTCACCCAGCCTAGCAAAAGCTACTGGCATGACATTGGATTACATGCCACTGTATTCAGATTTCACCACCACTTCTGAGTGAGCGCATATATTTTACAAAGCTACAATGAGCAGAAGAAGAGCTTTTAAACTCTCCATTCACAAACACCAGGAAACCCACACTCATCTATTAGATCCCTTTTTTCTGCCTGGCAGCATCTCAGTACTTTTTCTTTTCACCTCTCATTTCCAATCCAGCATATCATTTCATAACTTCTATATCTGCTTGTCACTTTACTTGCATTTACGCCACAGCTTGTTTTGCTTGATCTTGAGGCACTCATCCATCTTGTCTTTATATCCTTTGCTTCTGTTCCCTTTTGTTCTCCTACTCTGAGAGTAGTCAAACTTATTAAAGCATAAAAACAAAGAACAGAATAAACAAACACTCAGACATGATTGTGCACTTATACATCCCCACAAACAGACAATAAGCAGAAATATTTGGATACATTAACAGACTCGCGTCTAATGTTAGCTGAGAGTGAGCTTGACACTCTCAGAGAGTATGAAACGGTAAAGACGACTCGCACCAGAGAAGAAAAAAATGAACATTTGATCAACAGAGTGACGCAACGTGATTGCATTTCAAAGTCAACCCACATCAAACTCCTGTGGTAGCACAGCCAACTCACAAAGTGAAACCAACTCCCAAGTGATATGCCAAAAACTGTGCATAATTCAAAATCCTCGGAGTTCAAGAACATCCAAATCTGAAAGACGTTGCTCAATGGATCAAACACCAGGTGCTTCCCTTTAAAATATTTAACACGCAAAGAGGACCGTGACGTCGATTTGAAGGTTAGGTTTGCCTCTGATTTTGACGCATACTGGGATCTCCATCTATAACCTTGTAATTTCTGATTTTGACTTGGAAAAGAAAACATTCTTTAAATATGGATCATGCTCTGTGCCTTATTTTACCCAAAAGCCCATGCTGGGACAATGAAGATAAGCTAACTGAATCATTGAATGCGGTAGAAATATCTCACCCTGAGGTCTCCGTTGGCCAGATGTGCCGCAGGATAGGAGGCATAGATGGGCTCTTTGCGATAGATTTTAATGATACTGCGGTCCTGTATGTCTCTCACGTCCTCCAGCTCGTAGAATACGTTCCTGGCTTCATCTTTGATCAAGATGGCCGTGTTCGGGGACTTCAGCATTCCTGCTGTCAGCTTCTGAGGGAACATGTGCACGATGAGCGCGTGCAATGTCTCTAAACTGTTGAGTTCATGAGTGATATGAACACGCCTGGTCTCATCTCCAAACTGCAGGAAGAGGACACCTTAGAAGAGAAGGAGAACGGGAAGAATAAAGTCAGGAAAGAACACCATGATTAAGATTAAGTATTTCAATTGCATATAAAATCTCCATCCATTTGGATTACACAGTTTAAACATGATTTCCATTACATGTCCATTAGATGTTAAAACTTCATTCGATTTGTACTCGGCTTTCGCCAAGATAAGCAAAACTAAGACGTAGCTTTACAGTAAACTATGCTCCTCCATCCATTTGATGATGTGAATCTCCTTCTATTAGGCGTTAAACGGCTGCAGTGTACGACGGCTGCAACTACAGTGTGGTCTCCCAAGTGGACCAGCACAACAAACGTCACGATTGAGCCGAGTAGGGGACATCTCTAGGGTCTTCAAGTGGGCACTTTCCGTTCTCAGTGTTTCGTTGACTAGCCCACGACACTTCAAGAGGGCTCGACAGTTGACTCTGGTGTCCCATGAGTCAACCCCCTCTGTCCCCCACTCAACTCAGCCCAACATAAACTAATAAACTGGATGTGATGCATATTTGTAAGTCATACATAAATGAAAAGGGTAAGTAATAGGTAAGATTTCTTGAAGAGTACTAATAAATTTAGTCTAATTTGTCAATCTCATACATATATGAAAATGGCTTGTTGCACAACTAACCATATTTCAACCATGTTGAAATAAAATAAACATATCTGTTATCCTGATTCTAAGCAATTTGAAAGAATGCATTTTGATCATTTCAAATCAAAGCAAATAGTTAAAGAAATAGTTCACCCAAAAAGGAAAATTAAGTCATTAATTACTCACCCCCATGCTGTACCAACCCCGTAAGACCTTCGTTCTTCTTTGGAACACAAATGAAGATATTTTTGATTTAATTTCTTTAAAGAAATCAAGAGATTTCCACAACGCGTGCACAAGAATTGCGATCTCCTTCAACTACTTCAGTTCAGTTCTCACGCATGCGTCGTGGAAATCTCTTGAACTCTCGTCTCTGGCCTACAAGGAAGAAAAGGAATAGTCGAATAAAGTCATTATTGTTGTTTTATTTCCACACAAAAAGTATTCTCGTCGCAGTGTTGTAGTCGAGACCACCTCACTCGAGTCCGAGTCTAGACCGAGACCAGAGAGAGTCGAGTCCGAGTCAAGACCGAGTCCATAGAGAGTCGAGTCCGAGACCAGAGACCAGAGACGGTCGAGTCCAAGTCGAGACCGAGACCAGTGAGGGTTGATTACCTAATTTACTTTTATTTACTTAGAGAAATACTTTATTTATTTTTTTACTGAATTTACTTAGAGTTTAAAAAATATGATCAGTTTAGGGTAAAAAGGCCACATAGTAGGTGGTGTTAAAAGTAATTTTATTACAATTTGTCATGCGCAGTTGAGCACTAGAAAATCACCAATCACTGGGCGGGTCAATCAATTTAAAGAAATATTTTATTAACATACATTAATAATCATGAAAAATATTTTGAATTGAACTCGAGTGGACTCGGGAATAAGTCCGAGTCCTAAAAAAAAAATGTTCGATTACGAGTCAATTCCGAGTCCAAATGCACACGAGTCCATGACAAGACCAAGACCATTAAAATATGGTCTCGAGACCAAGTCCGAGACGAGTCCGAGTCTCGAGTACTACAACACTGTCTCGTCGCTTGATAAACTTATACTTGAGCCACTGTAGTCACATGGAATATTTAAACGTTTTTTTCATTGACTTTCTGGACCGTCAAGTTTTGATCCCTTCGGCAGCCTATGTAACAGTGATCCACCTCTCAAATTTAATCAAAAATATCTTCATTTGTGTTCCGAAGACGAACGAAGGTCTTACGGGGTTTGTACAGCATGGGGGTGAGTAATTAATGACTTAATTTTCATTTTTGGGTGAACTAACCCTTTAATAATAAACTATGCCATGCCATCTTCTTTTTGAGTGGAGTTGTGTGACTGACATATATCAAGTATGACAAGCATCACATTACGTTTATTAGTTTATGTTAAAACTCTGTTAAAACATACATTTTAAATGTAATCTTAAATATGTTTTGAGTGCACTCTAAACCACTGTGAGAGTGACAGAGTCTCATGTTTACTGCCGCTGAACTTCTCCTGCAGACATTTTGTCATCAGTTTCTGTCAGTTTATCTCGGCGCACTTCACCTAACGGGGCAGCAGGCGATTCTAAACTTCCTGCTGATGGGACAATAATCTCTCTGTGGGGAACTGTTCAAACCGAATCACTTTCAGCAAATATTGTGCACTTGCTGCTAACACACACACAGAGTAATAGTTCAAGACTAAGAGATATTTCACACCATGGAAACCAAAGCTAAAAAACAAACTGTTGAAGGTCAGTTTATGTGAATGCATTGTGCTGCTGTAATTAACACACTGCTATTAACTATAAAAAAGTAATTGCAGAACAGCGAAATGTCATCCTCAGCCGAAAGCAAATCAGTACGGTGGGGCTGATTTACTTGAATCATCCAAACAAGGTGATTCAATAGAATGAATCAGACTTTCCATTGCAAATAACACGAGAATGTGTTTAAATATTGTGTCAGCTCACTTGAATATAAAAATGCATACACAATACAATGTGTGACATTAAAACAGTGATGTAGCACTTTGTCTCATTAAAAAAAAAAAAAAAATCCTGTCTTTTAAAAAGCTACAGTATTTAAAACTGAACACTTCTGAAAAAATGTATTACTTTTAGCTACTCCCCAACAGGCATAATGAGTGAGATACAAGCAATGATCTACAAACTTATTTCCTGAGGTTAATGTGCTGATGTTTGATTCATTACAACATGAAAAAAAAAATGTTCTGTGACTTTTTACAATTATCTGCGAGTTATTTACAAGGAAATTGTTTTTATAATGAATAATTGTCTTAAACTTCCAAGTAAATTTCTGCATAGCCTTTGGGTTAATGTGCGCATTATAACAAAGTTTCTGGCTTCTCAGTTGCACCCTGAAATAGTTTCTCGAAAGGCTAATCGTTTTCTGTTATTTAAATTTTTTATACAGTAACAGTTTAGAAAGGTCTGATAAACACTAATTTAGTTACAGCAAGTTGTACAGTGGATGAATAAGATTGTTTATTATTTATGGGCTTTGTTTGTCATTACATGACAGGACAGAGGGGGGAAAGGAAATTATGTAGCCAAGTATAAAACCCATGTTTAAAACTGTGGTTCACCCACTGCTTGTGCTCACTAAGGATTTGATCAAAATACAGTAAAACAGTCATATAGTGAAATATTAATACAATTTGAAGAAACTGCTTTCTATTTGAATATATATTTAAAATGTTATTTATTTCTGTGATGCAAAGCTTAATTTTCAGCATCATTATTCCAGTCTTCTGTGTAATATGATCCTTCAGATATTCTAACTGGTGATCTGGTGCTCAAGAAACATTTCTTATTATTATCAATGTTGAAAACAGTTGTGCTGATTAATAGTTTTGTAGTTTCTGTGATAGATTTTTTACATAATACACACATCTTTAAAGTCACTTTTAGCATCTTTGCCAAAAAAAGTAGAAATTTCTTAAAGAAAAAAAACCCAGGATGCATTTCTTCATATTCTTTGATAAATAGAAAATTCAAAAGAACAGCATTTATTTCAAATAGAAATCTTTTGCAATATTTTAAAATCTTTACTGTCGCTTTTGATTAGTTAATGCAACTTCCCTGCTGAAAAATCCAGCATTAACCAGCATGAATTCCATGCTGTACCAGAGGCTGATTTATGCTGGTTTAGCGAACATAGTCATGCTGTTCTCAAGCAAAACTGAGCTGGTGAAGCTGGTCTTGCAGGGTTGAGTGTGAGTAGGCTAGCTGTCTGTATGCAGTGTTTTGGGGACAAGCATTGTTTTTGCTTGCATATTATCATATTTACATTTACATATATTTCTATATGTAACATATTAATGATGTAATTGAATAACAATATAATATTAGAACACATGTTTTATTGTAATATATAATTTTAATTTTTTCATTAAATTACTGTCCATGGAGGTTAATTTTTCAACAGGGTTTGCTTAATAAAAGTACTAATTTCTTTCAAACAAAAAAAAAAGTCCTTTTGAAGAAAGGTGTAGGTCGGACTCAAATCTGCATAACCGGAGAACATGTTAGCCGTGACGGCACCACAGCACTCATTAGTAAAGTTGCTATTATTCTTGTGTGTATTCTTGTGGGGATAAGCGATTCAGCGATTCATTTGAGTGTCAGATAAAAGGGGTCATTTAAGGGTCAGGTAAAAGGGGTGTAAACGGTCAATTGATACTCAGATAAAGTGTGTGTATATCTTACCCGGAGAACGTAGTTTATTCTGGCTTGCAGAGCGGGAAAGGGGGAGGCTCTGACGGAACCGGTTCATGCGATTGAAGCCCATCGGCATGTCGGCCTCTGACATGGTCTCCAGAGACTCAGCAGATGCGAAGGACAGTTTAGAGGCCTGGTCTGCCAAACCTGACTGAGTGGACTGGGAGTGACGTGGACTACGACTCTATATGACAGAAAGAGAGAGAGAGAGATTTTCAGTATTTTAAACAGCATGATGTAAAAGACAAACATTACATACAAGGAGAAACCAAGTGCAAATTCCTCCAACCAGAGTAAATTGCACCTAAATGTGTCAAGATTCTCCAAATCAAGTCTTACAGAACATAACATCACTGCTCCAATGTGAGAAAGCAAAGCAGATAATGTGCACCTGATTCTGTGTGTGTAATGATGGGGAAAACAGAAATGCGTTGATAGGTAAAAATCACACAGGACAAAGTAAACTAGTCTCTGTGGATATCTCTCAACAAACAGACTGAGACGCTAACAATTACACAGAACAAACCTGTCTGCCTCACTATAGCATATACAGTAACTGTAAATAGCACACCTGTGGACTTCTTGTCAAATGTATTGGTTGTTTTGTAGTATTTAATGAAGAGCGTTCACACAACCGCATCGTGGTGTGTTTCTCAAGCTCAGAGACACTTGTAATGAGCTCCCAGGGTGCACTGGAGAAAGACTGGCAAGCTGGTTTGCAGAGGAGGACACATCCACCGAGCAACATCACCATACATCAGATCAATTCTTCTCTCTTGATTGGTATTTTTTGTCTTATTTTTCAGTCAAAACAACCAAACATCTTTAAATCAAGATACATTTACTTGATAAACACATTTGTGTAGCCTATACACTCACCTAAAGGATTACTAGGAACACCATACTAATACTGTGTTTGACACCATTTCGCCTTCAGAACTGCCTTAAGTGGCATTGATTCAACAAGGTGCTGAAAGCATTCTTTAGAAATGTTGGCCCATATTGATTGGATAGCATCTTGCAGTTGATGGAGATTTGTGGGATGCACATCCAGGGCACGAAGCTCCCGTTCCACCACATCCCAAAGATGCTCTATTGGGTTGAGATCTGGTGACTGTGGGGGATTGTGGGCTAGAGGATGGGTACATGGTGGCCATAAAGGGAAGGACATGGTTAGATACAATGCTCAGGTGGGCCGTGGCATTTTAAACGATGCCAAATTGGCACTAAGGGGCCTAAAGTGTGCAAAGAAAACATCCCCCACACCATTACACCACCACTACCAGCCTGCACAGTGGTAACAAGGCATGATGGATCCATGTTCTCATTCTGTTTACGCCAAATTCTGACTCTACCATCTGAATGTCTCAAAAGAAATCGAGACTCATCAGACAAGGCAACATTTTTCCCATCTTCAACTGTCCAATTTTGGTGAGCTCTTGCAAATTGTAGCCTCTTTTCCCTATTTGTAGTGGAGATGAGTGGTACCCGGTGGGGTCTTCTGCTGTTGTAGCCCATCCGCCTCAAGGTTTGTGCGTGTTGTGGCTTCACAAATGCTTTGCTGCATACCTCGGTTGTTGCAAATGTTGTTATTTCAGTCAAAGTTTCTCTTCTATCAGCTTGAATCAGTCGGCCCATTCTCCTCTGACCTCTAGCATCAACAAGGCATTTTCGGCCACAGGACTGCCGCATACTGGATGTTTTTCCCTTTCACACCATTCTTTGTAAACCCTAGAAATGGTTGCGCGTGAAAATCCCAGTAACTGCAGATTGTGAAATACTCAGACCGGCCCGTCTGGCACCAAAACCAACCAACAGCCACCTTTCTTTCCCATTCTGACATTCAGTTTGGAGTTCAGGATATTGTCTTAACCAGGACCACACCCCCTAAATGCACTGAAGCAACTGCCATGTGATTGGTTGTTTAGATAATTGGATTAATATGTGAAATTGAACAGGTGTTCCTAATAATTCTTTAGGTGAGTGTATTATTGTCAGAGAATAAACACAACCATTAAAAATTTGGGTTGGTAAGATTTTTCATGTTTTGGAAAGAAGGCTCAGTAGAGGAACCATATGACTTGGACATCTTTGAATTTTATTCGCTATACTGGCAGTTTGATGCTGATTGAAGTTTGATTTCACTTTTTGTTGAACGAGGCATTTATTTTGACATGCGACGGCATGACACATTGTTAATGTATATTAATTGTGAATATTAAGAGAAAACTCATGGTTATCACTTCTAGCTCTAATAAGCCATCATAGGAATCATCATGCTATTTTTGATGCTAGATTAGGTTAACACGCTCAATTTCTTTCATGGTCTATGGACCACCTTATGTAGCCTTGGCCACCCCGTGTTTAAAGCTCTAGATATGCCACTGCTTAAACTCACCAAGGCTGCATTTATTCGATCAAAAATTCAGTAAAACAGTTATATTGTGAAACACTATTACAATTTAAATAACTAATTCTATTTTAAAATATTTTAAAATGTAATTTATTGCTGTGATGTCAAAGCTGATTTGTTTAGCATCATTACTCGGGTCTTCAGTGTCACATGATCCTTCATCACAAATCATTCTAATATACTAATTTGATTTGACATTTCTGATTATCAATGTTGAAAAGTTTTTGTGAAACATAGATTTTTCAGGATTGGCTGGTGAATAAGAACAGCGTTTATTTGAAAATTGATGTAAAGGTTTTTACTGTCAGTTTTGATCCTTTAAATTCATCCTTGCTGAATAAAATTAAGTATTATTATTATTTTTTTTAATCTAACTGACCCAAACTTTTGAACAGCACATTTGTAATTATAGCTAAACTTACTTGCAAGTATTTTTCTTGGTTTAAGCATAAATCAAACAACATTTAGAAAGGTTTAAGTTTAAAACAAATATCAGAGTGTGTTGTTTTACACACAGGGTACAAGCGCTCTCTCTCTCTCTCTCTCTCTCTCTCTCTCTCTCTCACACACACACACACACACACAAATGCTGAGGCGCACAGCGGCCGTGGCATAGTTGTCCTCTTGCAAACTGTGTCTGAGCACAAATGGACGGCCTAGAACTGAGCTGATGGATTACCCCCCGTGTGACTATAATGGGGTCATTTGTCCACAACAGAGAGCAGTCCGGGTGCTACACATAGACAAACGCACATACATACATCTACAAAATAAGAGGATGTTTATCTACACAAAGAGACACACTAGCAAATTTGCCATAGCTATTCTATGCTAATCTAAATGCTATAAACAGAACTAACCTGTACCTGCTATCAGGTTTGACTGCACAGTATACAGTACAAGGAATTTTGTAAAGAGAATCACTGTAAGATCAAAATAAAAGAAATACATTTTAGGGCAAAGACGGGTAAATATAGAGCAAAGGAATGAAGGGGTAGATTGCTGCAGGCAAAAGCACAAACAGAATAATGCCATAGATAATTACCATACAGATTAAATACATTTGAGCTTTTACACACTTTGATTAATTCTGACTCTTGGAAAACAAAATGCAAACGCTCCATTGTTTTGGTGAGAGTACAAACCCACACTGCAGGGAAAAAACACACCACTTTCTCTAAACAAACTATGAGTGAAAACACCCTTAAGACCATCCATGTAATCAAGATCTCCCTTGCTCTCTTGCGCTAATGTGCTTTCAAATGGATTTTTGTCAAATGCAATAAACACACAAGCTCTCGCTTTCGTTTCAAATTTGTATTTGCGTCAATAAACGCGTCAGCTTGTGTGTCAAATTACCTTCCTAAAGTGCTGTATTTTTCTGAATTAAACAGAATCAGGGATCCCTGTAGGATTCTCAGCAATAAATCTCCACCTTCATCGCAGACACGCGCACTTCTGTTCTGTTCCAACAGCAGGAAGGAGGACAACCCCGTGCCAAAATTCATCTGACTACAAAATGAAATGAAGGTAACAGAATCCGACAGGACTGTAGAGTAAACTGCATACGTTTATGGTAAATACACCCACACCTAGACATACAATCCACTACAACAAAAAAAAAAAAAACAGTAATACTGAATGCAACATGAGAATGAATAGACATATGAAATCACTTAGTTATTCGCTCATTCAGTATAATGAGTACCCCTCATTCTTTAGTTGTACAGAGATATGTGCAAACTGGAACATTTTAATACACAAATATTACTCTACTCTTACTGTAAATAGTTCAGGGGACATGATCAAATTCTTCGCTTGTGTTTAAATTAACCTGTTCACTTGTTATATAATTCTAAAGTGTGATAGTGGTACACAGATGGCTTGCTGGATTTATTATTTTATTACTTATTTGGCTATATCATATTATATTGTATTATTATACATGAAATAAATGTGTAATAGGTTGATGAAGGGATGTTGGATTAATGAGGTAAGCAGACAGGTTTTATTGTAATATGACTGACAGGATTAGATTAACAAAATTAACTTCCAAAAATGTATTATAACTATAAATTAAAATTCCTTAGGATAAATTAAAATACTAAGACAATTGCTGAAAAACAGTAGAAGCAAATTAACACGTACAATAAGTATTTGATGCAAAAATGAGCTAATTACTAATATCTATTTTTCATGAGAAAATAGAGTATGGACACTCCAGCAAAAGTCTCCATTAGTTCTCCATTGCATTTCTATCTAGGAGTAAAAATTAAGATATTACAGAAACCTCTTTTATGTGTGTGTGAAAAAAGAAAGTGAAAGAGAGGGGCATATTTTCTTTTCCATGCTTGAAAGAAGTGTGTCAATTGCAGATAAATTGATGGGAGACATACGTAGTATATAATATAATACATAATGTGCACAATTTTATTAAAATAACGCTATTAACTATTACAAAGAGACAGGGAGAGAAAAGCAATGATAGAGAGAGTGAGAAAGAAAGAAAATAATTGCTCTTGAGAATAATCCTCCTCTCTCTCCTGCTATTGTTAGACGCAGGCTGAAGGCATGGCAAAAAATTGCTCCAGCAAATTGCAGTAGATTGCTGTCCTATTCTGTCCTATGCTGAGAGAAGCAGAGAAAGCAGGGAAATGGTAAGCTGGTAGGTGGTCATAAAATGGCGGCATTCTCCGTAGTTATTGTTGGGGACTAATAGCGATGATGATGAATGATAAGAGGAAGAGACGGGAAGAAGATGAAGAAAATGGATTAGTTCAGTACATGCACCTTTACTGTCTGGAACACAGGCCGTGAGATATCTACCAAAACAAGAGATAATGTGCGACACTGTTTAACAAAAACTTTCAAATAAATAATGCTAAACTGGATATCCAGGCAATGAGACGTGTGTCCGTTCGGTGTGTTTCTTCGTCTGTGGGGCACATGAGTTTTATGATTACTTGAACTCACTCAAGAGGTCAATCTGGTAATGACTATTTGTGGAGAAGCTATTTTAAATTGCAACTAGGTTGTAGTTTGCCAAGGCACATTATTTTAGTTACCCTTTGGAAAATAAATAAGCTAATTACATTGAATATACATAAATAAACCATATTATTTCTTCAATTCACTGCAGTTTCCAGTTGAAGTGACCACTAGTGGCAGTAAGACACTAACAACTTTTATTCCTTTTCACAATCATTTTGATTACTGGGGAAGATTATCTATTATTAAAGACTCATTTCCCTTGCAAAAAACTATGTTATGGCCCTTTAAATATTTTAGAGCATGATTTGTCTAATACATATATTTTGGCAATTGCATCACACAACCAGCTCTATAAGTATGGCTATGGGAGTACTCTGGGTTCGGGCCGAATTTCAAGCTTGGGGGCTCTCACCCCCAGATAGCACGCCAAATACGCATTAAACTTTACTCCCTCTAATTGTATGCAAATGTGAACTCGTGAAATGTGCAAGAAGCAACATAATACCATTTGCAGAAATGTTGTCACACGTTTGGTTTTCCAATTTTCATCCGAGAAATATTTAACCTAATAACCTAATCATACAAATCACTGTGATAAGCAGCAGAATTTAGCAAAACATTTCACACAAAAAAACAAATTGATTCACTAATGAATCAGACTTCCAAAAGCTACCTGAAAAATGATAATTACTTTGAAAAGCTAGGCAAATTGGAATACAACTGAAGTCAAGCTACCGAATGTTTATCTTCGTGGCACTGCAGCTTGAACTTTGCTGCTTCCCAACACTGTGAACGGCAACTTTGGGCCCTCTCTGCACAATTTGCAAGGAGAGAAGGAGAGGAGAAGGTGAAGGAGAGACGAGCAGAAGAGGGGAGGAGGAGAAGGAAAGGAGAAGGAGAGGAAAGAAGGAGAAGGAGAAGAAGGAGAAGGAGAGAAGGAGAGGAGAAGGAGAGGAGAAGGCAAAGGAGAGGAGAAGGAAAGGAGAAGGTGAAGGTTAAGGAGAGGAGAGGAGAGGAGAGGAGGAGAAGAGTATCTAGATCAGGGGTGCCCAATCCTGCTCCTGATCGACTGTCCTGCACAGTTCATCTCCAACCCAAATCAAATCCAGAGTATCTGGGTATCCCATAAGCCACAACCAAAATTTCCTCCTGACTTTTCTCACAGAAAGCTCATAATTCCTGAGGGCGCTAATAAAAGTAAATGCTGAGTAGAGCCAGACTGATATATCGGCAGGCCGATATTATCGGCCGATATTAGGCATTTTCAAAAATATCGGTATAACTGCCGATAAATGAATATTTCAAAAATAAAATAAAAATGGGCGAATCACGCTTCAACCATGTCATGAGTGTTGGAGTTGTATAGTTTGTCCACCAGAGCGCACTCTACACCGTCCCTGTTGGCAACACTCGTGTATAACGCGCCACACATCCTGCAACCTGCTGATCCAGCCAGAGTCAGGCAGAGAGAACCAGTTATGCATTATCATATTATTTTAGTTAAAACTCATAATTAACTACAGATAACTAATGTTAGGGAAATCTGATAATATTTTGTTGCTCGTTTCTGAAATAAAAAAATAATAATAATAATATCGGCCGATATATCGGAATATCGGATTCTAAAACCAACAAATATTTGTATCGGTATCGGCCTTGAAAACCCTTTATCGGTCGGGCTCTGATGCTGAGATTAAGGCTACGTCCACATTAATCCGGATACATTTGAAAACGGGGTTTTCGTTTAAAAACGCTCTCCGTCCACACTAGCGTTTTCAGGTGTTTTCCGACGTTTCAGTGTGGATGAGAAACTTCTAAATTCACTTTACTGCGCATGCGTGAAACTTCACAAAAGCTCACTGAGATGATACAGGTGGGAAAATAAATAATAATGTCATCGCACAATAACAGGATAATTTTATTTAGCAAAATATCTCACCGTCACGGATGCGTCCAGGTCGCATTCAGTCACCATATGTTTGGTCTAAAACGCAACTGCTCTCCTGTTTTGCCGCAGGACAGCAAATGTGAGTAAACTACATTATCTGTCATCTTTGCAGTACTGTGCTATAAAGAATAGCACATAGAAAGTAACATATTTTAGCAATAGTGTAAAAATGAATAACACATAACAGGCACAATACCGATAAACATGAATATCTATTGGTACTACATGGATCACATGACTAAACTTACGCCATCGTTTTGAAATACCTCCGGTTTCACTGTCCACACTACAACACGAAAACGGCGTTTTCAAATTTATCCACTTTGGAGAGCGTTTTCCAAACGATACGTTTTTGTTGACTTAAAACGGCGTCTCAGTGTGGACGGAAGGCCAAAACGGAGAGAAAAATATACGTTTTCAAACGAAAACGTATTAGTGTGGACATGGCCTAAGTATTGGATAAATTAGAGTTTGAGGTGTATATTGTTGCGGAGTGTCAGATCAGGGAGAGTGCATTAATCTAGAATGAGAGAAACAAATAAAATGATTCACAAACCCTGACTGAGACACAACAACACGCAGACAGACACTGGCATGGAAACAGCCAGACCTGATTAGTCTGAAATCAATGTTGATATGCACTCAAACATGCTGTCTGCACTTTATTGTAGCTGGATTTTTCATGATATCAGTCAAATTCCAAACACATGAATGCTAGACATAGAGAATGAGTATCTGTCTATTGACAGGACGAGTGTAACACAAATAAATAAGTGTGAGAGTGAATAAGAATGAACGGAATTGGAGGATCCGATAACGGAGTCTCACTCTAATGACACGTTTATCACAGCCTGAGGCCATTTCCTGTGTCCTTGTACAATTACACACACCCATCTCTAATTACATAACATATAATAGAAATTTCATCCCTGTTAGAATAAATATCTTTCACAATATAATACAGGTTTAACAACATGGGATTTGATGGAGTGAGTAAGTATAGACCATTTCACAAGATGTGAACAACACTGGTCCAGAAGCACTTCCTGTTTCAGTTTGTAACTGTTTTCTTTATTTCACATGTAAAGAAAACATCTTAAAGATGTTTGTTTAACTTTTTGATTCAGTTTTAAATGTTCTGTTGGTTGTATTTTATCCCAGCTTTTATGTAGTGTTAAAAAACTGAAACAGGAAGTGCGTCCGGACTAGTGTTGTTTACATCTTGTGAAATGGTCTATATATGTCTGTTTCTGAAGCAACATCAGCGTACTCACTGTTGTGGCTTCCTGATGATTTTTTCCTAGAGTCTTGTGCCATGGGTTTTTAAGATGCTGTGACAACAAAGAAGTTCAGTTTTTAAAAACATCTATAGAGACCCATGTGATGTGTTTGATCTATTAAGTTGACTTCAACTGTACGGCTTAATAGTCTGATGGGCAGGTATGTAAGAAAATGGAAGCAAGCAAAAGAGAGATAGATGGAGATAGAAAGAACAGGGCAATGAGATTTAGAAGATAAAAGCCAGTGAAGCAGATCATCACAAATCAGCCTCAGAACCGCATGACCCACAGATCAATGACCTTGATTTATCTCACTTTTGGCTACAATTTTGTCCTTGTTGTACAGCTAAATAAGCTTGCTCGCGCACACACAAGCCCAATAAAGTAGGCAATTGGATACTTACTCGTCTTAGCATAATTAAATTAGCTAAAATATGTCATGAACAAACACTCAAAGTGGGATGTATAGAACTAGGTGCAGATTCAATGTGGGCCTACAGCAGACGTCGAATCGCATTCAAGAACATACAGTATAAGAACACAAACACATATTACAAGAACTGAGCTTTTGTGACAGGAACACACAGAAGAAGTCAAAGCACTGACCTTAAAGCTCCAATAGTTTGGCTGTTGCTATGGAAAGAAGAAACGAGAGAGTGTTACTTAGACATTTATCTCTCTGGTGACACCTTATACACAGTCACAATCTCCAACCATGTGACATCTTTTGTGATAAAAGAATGTGAAGGATGATATGAACAGAGAGAGGGCACATGTGAGAATTTTCAAGAATAAACATTCACTTCAACTCACTCGAAATAATTTAATTTCATTTTTAAGTTACGCCCAATTTACATTTATGTTTCATATTTTCATTTAACATTTTTAATGTTTTTGAATTAAGTCTCTTATGCTCATTACGGCTGCATTTATATGATCAGAAATGCAGTAAAAACAGTAATATTGTGAAACATCATAACAATATTTAAAATAACTGTTTTCTATATGAATATACTTAAAAATGACTGTATCCAAGTGATGGGATAATATGATTCGATGCTCAAGAAACAAAAATTATTTGAAGTACTACTTTCTTTATAACAAAAATACCCCAAACTTTTGAATGGTAGCATACTGTATATGTAGTATTAAACAGACTTTTCACAGCACATATGCAGCTTCAAATGCAGCTCTGCAGATTAAAGATGGCATTAAAGTACGTGGTGACACAGTGACACATAATTCCTCTAGTCTGGTCGACATATGGAGCTGTTCTGAATGGGCTGCTGGACCCTATAAATGAGCCGGCATGAAGGTATTTTGAGTTTTCTCTCCGCCCATCAGCTGTCCTGCCTGAATGACTAACTGACTGGATTTCCGCAAATGAGAAAAAAAATTTAAAAAGATCCCCTCTGTGTCTATGCTTGGCCAGCTGCCCAGACCTATCAATCATACTGAAATTGGTCAGCTGTCTGCAGCTTTCACCTATCTCTCCCATTTCATCAGTGAACTTCATTTTTACAGAAAGTCAGAGATGTCACCAGCTAAATCCGTTGTAGTCTTTTTTCTTGGTCACTTTCTTAACTTTCTCTGTAACTCGTTTGGTTACATTGATAAGACAAATGAAATCAACTAGTGAGAATGTGAGTTCATTTTCTTAATTCAGTTTATTAAAGCCACAGGACCTAAAGTGCCCAGAGGTCTCATATATTCTTTGAATAAAACTCAGACTGCCGGTTTATTTGCAAGACCTTTCAATATTTAATGTGCAAGGCTAGACTACATCATCAGCTGATTAAAAGGGTGTGTGTGGGTGCAAACATACATTTGGGGAGGAAAACATAATTGAAAAGCTTGAAGATTATAAACATCAGCTAAATATTTCCTTCTACAAAAGGCTAAAAATATGTTGAACAAACTCCCTTGAACGTGAACACACTGCTCTTTTAACACAGTAGATCAGCATTATATTTTTTAGTAAAATAATATTCTTTGTATTCATTCACCTGCTTTCAACTTTGTGCACTGCCCAAGGGATCAGCAATATGAGAGATATATACAGCATGAAACAGTACAGAAAACCTGTTTTCATAGATTGACAAATACACAAACACCCACAAGCTGAGGCACCAGAATACACACATTGCATCAGAGTCTCTTCAAAAAGGAAATACCTGACACACACACACTGGGTTTTCACGTTTTATGGGGACTTTTGACATTGGCTGTAATGAAGCCATTATAACTTTTTAATTACAAATTCAATTAGTACCACTGTAGTTGAGGTCACGAAAAATATTCATGACACAGTTATAATGGCCTCATGACAGCCAATGTCAAAGCCAACCACATGACAGTTTCACTTGATTTAACGACAAGTTGTCATGACAAAGACACTGACAGGTTATGATGGTTTATGTCAAGGTGTCAAAGACATCTTAAACAATGTCATATTTGCATTTAAAATGTCATTATTGAGCGAAAGACACTTAATGACAGTTGTCATAAACATGCATAATTTCATATTCATGACATATGCCATGTCATGGTTATGAAGGTGTAATGCCAGTCTTATGCACACCCCTTCAAGTAAAGTGTTACCAACTTGTTTTCCAAAACATGTCCCCACAAGGTCAAAAATATAAAATAGTTCTAATGTATTACATGCACACACACACACACACACACATATATATATATATGTAAAGTGTATATATATTTTGTATAATATTTATATTTCAGTGTTGGTTAGTGTATCGGTGACGCTGATCTCTGGGAAACCAAACAAAATGATTTAAATGATCCTGTGTTTTTTTTTTCTCTTATGGAGCAGGTTTAACTGGTTTCTTTGTCTGGGCTGCTTTAATGATTGATTCAGCATGCTCCTCCAGACAGAATTGGTCAGATAGAAGCAGGGCACGGCCTCACCCATGGGGCTTGATTCTGGGTAACCTGAGGTCAGGTACTACTACTGAGTGGCAGATGGACCTGCATTGCTGCCAACTTCAGCCTAAAGACAGGGGGATCCAGGGGGATAAACTGTACTTTGAAACAGCTTGAGATTTAAGAGCCTGCTCATTGATGTAATATTAAATATTCAAACGAAAGCACTATAATATTACATGCGACATGATTGTCTCAAGCGTAAAATAAACAACAGTGTAGCCCAGTCAATACAACAATTACATTCAACACACTTACAAACACTAATTTAAATCTAAATGAAATGGATAAATCTGAATTTTCATGTTTAAGATTAATTGAACGATAAAACAGTGGACCTTATCCAGACGGCAACATAGTGTCGGCCCAGATCCGGGCCACATCTGGTACATGTGTATTCAACGCGTTCTAGATGTGGGCTGCATATGGGCCAACACTATGTTGCTGTCTAGGTAAAATGACACCTATCAGCATATATACAACGCAAAAGCTTTTGGCTATTTCTAGTTCTATTTCTTTATCTTTAAACCCTACTCATAAAATACAATTGTATTTCAATGCGTTAAAAGTGGATAAGTCACTTTATGAATCTTTTTCTTTCTGAAAAGGTGAGGAGGGTATTTTTTTAAAGGTTTTTTAACTAATTAATATGACTTCTCCTATGGTCCCCCAGTGGCTAGATATTTCAATTGGTGTAAACCGAGCTTTGGCTATCTTTCTCTGACTTTGAGAGAGTGAAAGCTCAGACGCGCTGATCTTGAATCTCCTTGAAGGTAACCTCCCTTTTCTCTGATTTGCCTGCCCAGAGAATTTGGCTCGCCCATGAGAAAATGAGCTTGGAAGTATAACCGTGCAAGCAAGATTTGAGTTTTTCCTCGAGAGATATCATGGCTTGCAAACGAGTGAAGCATGGCAGTTGATCAGTGTTCGGATGTACAAATGAACACAAAAGTATTTTTTAATTCCTTCATTCAATCAATGAGTTAATTTTTATTTTCTCTGGAAATACGCCAACACAACTTCCCAAGTTTCCTCAACTTGGGCCAATACAGAACTGGCCTCGATGAACGTCTGAAAATAAATCGATCAAGCTACCAAGCAACAATTTCTGATGTGTAGCCTAATTGTTCAAGTTCAGACAGGTAATCTTTCTCTCAAGATCGTTCAATACTGTTTCTGCATTAGTAAGTCAAGCCAGTGATTAAAATATCAACTTCACATCACTTATTTTAGTAGGATGAAAATAATCTTATTTAAATTGTGAACAAATTATACAGAAAGCGATCAAAGAACAATCTTTCCACACAGCGCAAGTTTATCTGGACAACTCATTATGAAATCTATGACGCATGCGACACTGCACAACGAAGCTCTTACTGTATTTACACCATCAAGTGTGCTTTGGTGAAAGCATTAGAGAGAGTGCAGAAACTGCATTGCAATGACAAAAGATCATCATTCTCGCGATCAACAGACTGTCATCTGCTTGCTCAATGCTCATCACGGCAACATTTTATGTGATGGGAATAGACCTAAATACTTTTCCCAAAAACCTTTCACGATTCGTTAATCTTGATAGCTGTAATAGTAAAAAAAAAAACTAAAAAAAAAAAAACGTATAATAGCCGTAGTAAAAGTATTCGAGAGAGTTTCACATGTAATATGTAGCTATTTCATATGCAAGCATGTCAGCCAATCACAGCAGTAGCTGGCTATACTGAATCCCACAGCAGACACGCCCCTTCAAACAGAGCGTTCAAATCAGAGGCTAAAATCAGGCTAGGAAAAATGCCTATTTTTTATCTAAAACACATACTAACATTATAAGGGCAACCCAGGAAACATTATAAAATAATAAAATAACCCCATGTCAGGAGACCTTTAAGAAACTTTCTTCAAAAAGTTAATCTACAGTAGAGAGACATTCAACAATATTGCATTTTAATTTGACTGATCCATTTTAGAATTTAATAATATTTTCAGTCTTCATTTTTTTGTTCTATTGTAAAAAAAAGCCATTTTTGATAAAATGTAAAATTAAATGAGACTTATTAACAAATTCGTAGAATTTACAAAAGCAAAGTAAATATGTTAAATTACTATACATGCATACACACAGACAGATATATAATTTGTATTATATTATACACATAATATTATTAATATTATCTATTTAGGAACCCCTTTCGCTTTTGACGACATCACTAGTGAACTCCTTGCAAAATATTTCAGGAAAATTGTCTGAAAAGTACTGTTAGGTTATACACGCACACACTTCCATGGCCATTTGACCAATTTGTGCTGTGGTCTCCGGCCAAACCACAGAGGAAGTGAAAAATTCAAAGAACTGAAAAGTCTCCTAAAACATTTCAATGTGACAGCCCTAAATTTCTCTTTTTGACATAGCTTTTTATAAATAACTGAAATAACACAACTATTAACACCATCGTATTGGGTCATAATTGAGGGGCGCTTCAGCGAGCTGTGGCTTAGTGATGTTATTTTCCCCTAACAAGCAGAATTCCATGGAGCAGTACGAGGCCCGCATCCTCAGTTGCTAAGAAACTACTCCGAAATGGGGGATAATTGGCTGTCTAAGTTGCGGCTGCTTTTGCCAGGGGAAAATCAACAGCATACTTAAGGGTTAATTGATAAAACAGGTGCAGCTGAAAGGAATTATTTAAAAAAGGGATGAATCATGTACAAGATTTTTTTTTTTTTTTTCAGAATGTAAAGCTCCTTCCCTACATCACACAGACTGGTACTAGCATTAGTTTTAGATGGACAATTACAGCAAAAAAAGAGGGTTGAAATAATTCAAAATGCTAATCTGCTCTAAAACAAGTTGTTCCGTAAAAAAACAGTCTAACTTTCTCCAAATTTGACATCAACATGCAGAGACATAGATCACATAGGCACAATCTTAGGTACTTTATTCAGTTATTCAACATACCTGAAAATTCTGCTTTAATTTAAATTCGGAAGTAGATTTTATAACAATATTGTGCCTTTTTATCAACATATGGCACTGAAGCACTAGCTTAAAGAGTAATGTATGTAGTCACAAAATCAGAGACCCTCAAAACAAATGGTCACAAGAAAAGCATCAGCACTGAACTGCTTTGGTACATGGAAGTTAACCTATCAGAGGTTATTTACATAACCCAACCCTACATTCTTAAAAGTACAGTAACAAGAAAAGTTGTTTGATGTTAAATGCTAAGAGGGTAGGCCTATAGAAATACAAATTATGACTGTTTTTTGTGCAACAATCCCTGACTAGCATTACTCAGGAGGAAAAATAAAATACCTCAAAAGTGCATTAGTACATGCCCCCCTTTAAATCCACCGTCTGCATGCATCTGTAACGTGGTGGCATTTGTTTGCAGGTCAAATGCCCCCATGTGCACATATCCATCAGCAGTACAACCCAATGCATTTTTATTAAAGCAAAAGCATGTGCACTAAACACAACAATAAGGCCTGAATACTATATGCATCTGATCCTGATTAGTCGCCATCTCTCAGAAACATGTGTCAGCCCAGCAAGACTACCGGAGCTGTACACCACCTGACCTGCATGCGAAACAGCTCTTACCTTCCCTCTCACATGAACACACAATACGAATACATCCATTCACACATGTTCCCTCTCCCTGACATGCACATACACACACACACACACATACACTCACACTAGTCACATATGCAAAAATCAAACCCAGTTAGTTTCTGACCAGTCACCACATCAGCCAATCTCGCAACAACCAAACAAATGAAGTCGCCTGGTCGAATCTCACCTGCACCAGCATGCGTGTACGCTAGTGAGTGTGCGTCCTCCCTACACACACAAACGCACATGCACACAATCTAGATGCCTTCAGTATCAGCAGCTGGCTGTCAGGTGTGCAACTCATTCTCTTATTCCTGCCCTCTCTCTCTGTCTCCAGCACATGCGACGGCAGGTTCTTTATTTAATTCATTACAGCATCGACTGGCTACTGGCTGCTGCTTTAACTCTTCCGTGCTGGAGTCTCGGGAAAAGGCTGGCAGAGGGTAATTAACTCTCCTCCTGCCGGTTTACACACCGTTGCACTCATCTGTCGGCTCTTTCCCTCTCTTCTTCCCCTCCCCCTTTCCATTAATCCACACAGGCTGCAGATAGGCAAATAAATAAGGAGGAATTCCTGTGATGCGTCTTCCTTCAAGGTTGAGGATATTCCAAAACCCTTCCCCTTTTTCGTCGCTTTCTGTTTTTTGTTGCCCTCACTCTCTCTCTTTCACACACACACACTCTTCATTCCTTGTTCTATTGGTTTCTCATTCTCTCCAGGCTGACCTTTGCAATATGATATCACCAGTTTCCATATAAGGACGGTGTTGCCTTGGCAACTATGGACTCCACCTGTCTCTCACACTACCTCCCTGTCTCCCTCTCTCTCTCTCTCATTTGATCCTATCATCTCACACACTTGCCGGGCAATAGTGTCACACACAGGTATATACGGTGATGAGAATCAGATACACGTGGATGAACGAGCGTAAAATAGGTGATAAAAAGACAAAGAGACACTTTTGAAACAGCCCTGCTGAAAAGACTAGCTTTCCATGTGTATGCTGGTTTGGTGCTAGTTTAAATAGTGGACTGCCATAGCCATGTTGTTTGCCAACAAAACATGCTGGTCAACCAGCTGATCAAGCTAGTTAAATGGATATTTCACCCCAAAATTGTTCAAATCCTTCAAGAATTGCAGTGAAACAGAAGGATTGTGCTGTTATAGTCAATAAGGGTGACTTTCAAGTGTCATGTAGTAGTTTTATGATCCCTTACAATTCTAAAATATATACGAAATATTTTTTAGATGCCATTCATTGTAACTGCATGGAAGAGAGCAACATTTAAACTAGTGGTGTTCAGACTTTTATTTTGGTAAGTTAACATCTGGACTTTCATTTTGAAAGCTCTAAGAACTTTCTCATTCTTCATCTTCATTAGTTTAATGTCGTTGTTAAACTGTTCTGTTGTAATTTGTAAATTTTTGTAATTGTAGCATGTTTTATTCTTTAATACAAATAATCAATAATGTAATGTATATCGGCTTTACATAGACCATTGTGCTCTCTGAATGGCATGAGAGTAAGTAAATAATGGTAGAATTTTCATTTTTGGGCTTAACTATCCCTTAAAACTAGGTTAAGAAACCTGGTAGGGACAAGGAAAGGAAAAAAAGGCTTGCACAGTAAATCATTTTCTATATAGAAGATATATAGATGGAGAGATAAAGAGCTGATGAGTATAATTACAGTAGAATACTGAAGCAAAGCCTCTTTTTCAACACTCATCCCTCTGAAAATATCAGCGTAGGCGGATTTTGACAGACTTGTGCGTAAATGTCTAGTACCTGCGTGTCTCTCTCTCTCTTCATGCACACAGCTGATTGGCCGATGTTGGTTTGATGCAGTGACATCATCCATATTTGAATTCAACATTACGTCACCCTCCCCCATAAGAACCAGTTGTTCCACTCACAGTGACTGCTGTTTCCCTAGCTTACAACTGCCAATTTTCTAGGAGAGTACAAAATGTTTCAATGCCAAGCTTTGTGAAAGCTGGGAAGATGGGGGCATATATTGAGTCAGTGACTGAAGTGTTTATATGTACACGTCAAAGTCTCCTTCAGAAGACCTCTTGGATAGGTAGAATTTCAAAACCTTGTGTTGTGAATCTTGTGTGTGTGAACATGTATCCATGCATGCTTAATGTAATTTACACAAGCCTGTTCCTGAATCAACATCCTGAAAAAATATTCCTATCAATCAATCAGAGACTTAATCTTAAATAAAAAGGCAATATTGAACTAATCTAACTATTTTTTTTCCGATTGCACGTACACGCACTTTCAACACTGATAATAATCAGAAATATTTATTGAGCATCAAATCATCATATTTCTGAAGGATCATGTGACACTGAAAACTGCAGTAATAATGCTGAAAATCCAGCTTTGACATCACAGGAATAAATTACATTATAAAATATGTTCAAATTGAAAACCATGTAGTGATATTTCAATATTTCTGTTTTTACTGTATATATATATATCATCAAATAAGCCTTGGTGAGCATAAGAGACTTCTTTCAAAAGCATTAAAAAATTAAAAACAATAAAACTTTTTAACAGTAGTTTAAAATATCACATCTAATATGCTATCCAATGACATCCAATTAATAAAAAATAGATTGAAAATATGTATAAAAAATGTATAATAAATAAATAGAAAAAAAAGAAAATATGTATAAAAAAGCTAAATATAACAACATGAATAGAACATACTGCACTATCAAAGTATTATTATTTAAATAATCAACTAAAATAAAAAAAACTTGATCCAACAAAAATAGTCATAATAAAAATATTAACAGTTATTAGTAGTAAGAAAATAAAATACAAAAACACAAAACTAAATAAACTAAAATAAATATTGCATACAAATCTGTATCCCCAACCATTAACTACCTCTAAGACCATGGGGGTTTGATATGATTTTTGTTCAAGCCCCAGCCCTAATGTTGAATATGATTGGTGAATCAGGATGTTTCATCACAACAATGTTTATCCAGCAACATCACACAAGATAAGCCTTGTACATACCTGTTCACGTGCGTTTCTCTCCGAGCTGCCCCTCATGCTGCCGTGCGAGGGGGATGGAGAGGGCGGTAGGGAGTGCTGGGGTGGGTACTTGTTCTTCAGGTGGTCCATGAAAGCGTCCCGCTTGCGTTCCATGTCGGCCTTGTGCAGGTTGGTGAGAGCCTCCAGGCTCTGGGCGGCGATGACCGTGTGCCGGTGCTCAGAGGTGTGGACCAGCCCCACGTTGGAGAAGCGGCGCGTGCTGTTTCCCAGCGTGCGGTATTCACGCGGGTACTCCAGGTCATCGGTGGAGATCATGTGACCTCCGCCACGCTCCGGGTCTGCTTTGAGAGAGGGGTGAAAGGGGGACGAGGAGTTGAGGAATGTGAGAAGTGTGGCACCAGCACACACGCATTCATACGGTCATGCACGACCACACGCATGCATGCAACAGCGCAAATGCATTCACAGAGACAGATGGTGGAGGAGAATGGGATGAAGGGGAGGAAGAGAGAGAAATGGGATGAGATGTTAGACTTGTTACAACAGAAAAGAGCACAAGAGCGAGTGTCTGCTCCCTGCAGTGCTATTGATCTCAGGTTTAGTCGAAAAGAGGGAACTAAGGAGAAGCAAAAGCACTGAGCTATAGATCAGAGAAAAGAATGGAGACAAAATTTCTCTGTAAGAGATTACATTTTGCTTTGCCTGTCGGTTCGCCTTTGTCATCTGAAGTGGCGTTCCTTGCTTTCTGAGGACAGGACACATGCTGGATCACAACCCTCCACACATGCACAATCATGTATACACACATGAAAAAATATGTTGATATAAGCTGGGAGAGAAAAGCATTGAAAAACATAACTACAGGGAGTCATGTACAATTTTTTGAGGGGGCACTGGTGGTAGTTCTGGCTCACTTTGTGGCCTAGACCAGATGAAATGAAAAAACAAACAAACTTTCGAGCGATTTTTAGCAACTTTAAAGGATAGTTCACCCCCCCAAAATTAAACTTCACTTATTTACTCACCTTCATGTCGTTTCAAACCCATATGACTTTTGTTCATCTTTGAAACTCAGTGAAGATAGTTTTAATAAAACCTGAGAGATTTCTGTTTCCATTGAAAGCCCATGCAAACAAAACATTCACGCTTCAAATTAATACATTGCAAAAGTTGATACATTGCATGTGTTTACCGTATTTCATGTGCTCCGTGTTTAGGCATCGATGTTTATATGATAAATTAAGTCTGATCATCATATAAAATGATCCTGTCAAGATTAAACCACATTCATATTGATTGCTTTTACAATGTCTTTTTGTACTTTTTATGTCTAAACATTTTGGTTGCGAGAACTTTCAATGGATGAACAGAAATTATGAGTGAATAACTTCATTTGTGTTCTAAAGATAAAAGTCTTATGGGTAGTTCCCAGACTGTGTAGCATCTACCAGCTAAACCATGCTAACCAGCCAAAACTTGACACCTTGGTTTACGTGCCCCCTCAGTTTGAACACATACATTCCCAAACTGCCTCCAAGGGGAAGAGGCACAACCTAATGCGCATTAAGTTTAACTTCCCTCTGCAATTTCTCATTCTTTCCCCCTATCTCGCTCACAAAGACGGCCTGGAACAGCAGCTAACGCAAATGGCACGTAGACAACAGCAATTCGTTGTGGTCGGGTAGTATGTGGAGACAAAACTTTGACATAAAATTGACAAAACCAGAAAAACAAAATGACAGGCCAACCTGATTGGCCAGAGGCAGGCCGACATGAGGAGATATGGGAGTGGCTGGTGTTGTTACCTTGCTTCGGAAAGCAGGCCCCAACATTAGCTGGAAAAAAAAAAGAACATCGACCATGGTTAAGCTCCTCATTCTCTCTATCTTGTTCGCTCTCTTTCATTCGCTTAATCTCTCTTTCATACACGTGCACAATAATTGCCTTTGGTGCTGTTGGAAAGAACTGATTCCCAAATCATCTCTCTCTTTTGTATAATGCAAAAGGAATAAGAAACATTGTTCAGTCAGTATTACAAAAAATGAAATCTTACACCGAGGCATGATTCCCCAATAGGAAAAAAAAAAAAAAAAAACACATTGCTGATGTTGTTTTGTTTGTGTGTGTGTAAACAAGCTTTCGATAAACGTCCTCAATATGATAGGGGTTCCAGGCGAAAACCTTCCCAGGATTCTGTCAAGAATTTATGAGACTCACTGTCAGAATCCTGAATGCCTAAACAAACAAATACAGACACCCACCCACACAAACACTACATTAAAATGTTTTACCATTCTTCCAGCCACTGCCCTTTACTTATTTTCTCTTTGTTAACAGATTCAAACATAACCTCTCATGAGCAAAACCTTAAAATAATTGAGTATATGTTTTGATGACGTGTGGTGTTTGTGTGTGTGTTGGAAAGAAAGAACAGTTTCCAGCAGGGAGTGAGGGCAGAAAAGTAGGTATTGGTCCTGATCGCTTGTGTGGAGCAATTTTGCTAATAAAATGTTCATGAAGTACCTGAATATTTTAGTGGGCTAAAATCTAGCCTCTGGTGATGTAAAATTACTGCATAAAAACCCTGCATACAACAAGCATAACAAAACTGCTGACAGCTGCCTTGATTTGATATGCTATATTATCTTCATTGATTTGTCTCTTCATATTTTCATTCATTTATTCATCTTGACTTTATAGATTCATCAATTCACTTATTAATACATCCCACAGTTCCTTGATAACAAATGACTGTTGGTTTTCAAGCTTTTCTGCAATGTCCCACCATTGAAGCATTGTTCTAAGCTAAATCTTTTCCAAATATACAGTAAATGTCTGCCAGGCAAACAGCTCTATGACAAACTATTAGCAAATATACACCGTTCAAAAGTTTGGGGTCGAACGATTTTTAACGTTTTTGAAAGAATTCGAATATTTTTGATCAAAAAATGTGTTCAAAATGTAGGAAATTTGTCTTGTGATGTCAAAGCAAAATTTTCAGCATCATTACTCAGTCTTCCGCAACATGATCCTTCAGAAATCATTCTTAGCCTATATGATCATTTGATGCTGAAACATTGCTTATTATTATCCATGTTGAAAACAGTTGTGTTGCTTCATTTTTTTGTGGAAACTGACACAATTTTTCAGGATTCTTTAATAAAAGAACAGCATTTATTTGAAATAGAAATCTTGTGTTGCTTTACTGTCACTTTTAGTCAATTTAATTAGCCATTTCTTTAAAAAAAAACTCATCTTACTAATCAGACTTTTGATTGCAGTTTAAATATCTGTCACAAGTAGCAAATGGCACAAATACTTTGCAACAAATAATTATTTATCAGTTTGTTAAATTGAAGTGTGATTATTCATATTCTTTTAATTTTGTAAACGTAATTTAGGTCAAAGCGAGAAATGTTTGAGAGCTTGCCATTAAAAGCATTCCTTGAAATGAAATGGCACTTTAACAGATTTAAATATGTGCCACTCTAAACTGGAGAAAATAGAATGAAGAAAGTGAAAACACAAAGTCTCTCTCTCTCTCTCTCTCTCTCTCTCTCTCTCTCTCAGAAACATCATATCATGTACTTTCAACTCAATGGGATGTGAATCACTATTTTCACCATCTCAACTGTCTCCATGGTCTCCCTATTGCCCCTTCACCCCTTTTCAGGAAGCTTGGGGCTAAAAACACTATTACCATCCAATGAATTATTCACATATTATTTAAAGAATTGAATCTGAAAGCAGCTGGTATGTTATAAAGCAGAGCCTGGTGCTTTAAACAAACATCAGGGTTGTTCTGGAGTAATAGACAGCAGTGCTCCAGAGAAATGGTTAAATTGAATGACCTTGTGGTTAATGTTGTTAGCATTGAATTCGTTAATAGCACTTAAACTCTCCCGAGAAGGAGCATTATCTTTCAGACTGCAGCCTGTTGAAGGACAGACGGAACTGATACCGACTTACCATGATACTTGCTCTAGGGAGTTTTAACCACTAATACTCCCTGACAATGTGACTAAACAGTATAGCTTTAGCAATGAGAGCTTTGAATGGAGGCAAGAAGGACATGTTCAATTCACTTAAACATGCTGCATAATTGAGTGATATCACTGTGTTGAAGTTGTTTATTAGTATTTTGTTGAAAGAACATTATATATTCGTGACTGCACTAATAAAAGCCAATGGTGGCCGGTTGCTGATTTACACTGGTTTTGATGGCCTATCGATAGATAGATAGATAGATAGATAGATAGATAGATAGATAGATAGATAGATAGATAGATAGATAGATAGATAGATAGATAGATAGATAGATAGATAGATAGATAGATAGATACTAATAAACTAGTTGAAGTATGATTACTATGCAATAAATACAGTATTACATTTACTAGTATGATAAATAATACAATCACATAATGCTCTACTTTCAGCTGTATTACATTAAAGTACAGCAGCCAGTTGCAAAGGGGACCGCTTTGGCTGAATTTAAGACCACAATGGACCAGACTGATGCAATAAAGCCAAAAGCGTTTGGCTTTGAAGCGTTGATACCAAGAAAACTACACCCTGTTGTCTCCTTCTTTCATCTCAGATCATATAATCTCTGCTAACTCTTCCTAATAAAGACAAAATGTTGTAGCAAAAATAACCGTCCTGAGGTTAAAGAAAGGAGAGGGGCATTGATTTGAACCGTGCATGGAAGCAGATATCATCATCAGCAAAGAAAGTCAGCCAATCTGATGTGCTAAAGCAGGTACTGTAACTGCCGCAGGCACAGAGAGAGATAGAGAGAGAGAGAGAGAGAGAGAGAGAGAGAGAGAGAGAGAGCACATAATGCCAGAATTGGAGACAAGTTGTTTGCCTCTATCCATCACAGACGCCAAGCTAGAATTACCCTGACAGGCTAAATCAATGCAAAACAACAGCCTGAGAATGTGTTAGCAAGACCTTTTCAAAAGTACAAGTGAACAATGATGTTTAGCGAGCAAGAGAGAGTGGGGGAGAGAACATGAGAGTGAACAAACACTAAACACTATGCCATCTTCATCCCACTGTTGTGAAGAACTACTGTGTGCTAAAGGGAGTACTTCTGCTGAATGTGTCTTCAAAGAAAACATTGCATTACTGTGTTTTTATTCAAGAGACTTGTTGTATCACAACTATGAAAGAGAATGGCATCAGTCCCATCTTTAAAGGCATACTATGCAGTTGCTGGTTTTGTCAAACAGCGACCCCTAGAGTCGCTGTGGAGTATTTGTATTTAACGTTACTTGCGCAGAGCCGTCTCTGCACTCTTCTGTCCGGGCTATCTTAATTTTCTTCGTTGACTCAGCCGTGATTCACGTCTGAAATGCGTGCTACTGTTTTCCATGGAGGCTGCTTCATATGTCGTTGATGTATGTGACGTCGTGCCGCAAAGCAAGCTGTGATTCTAATCTCGCGAGATTTGGCGGGACGCCACCTCTCAAACCTATGAGAGGGATAGTTCAACCAAAAAAGAAAATTATGTCAGTAATTTCTCACCCTCATGTTGTTCCAACCCCGTAAGACTTTCGATCATCTACGGAAAACAAATGAAGATGTTTTTAATTAAATCTGAGAGCTGGATCACTCCTCCATAGACTTCTTAAGGGATCGAAACTGGCCGGCCCAAAAGTAATGAAAGACATCGTTAAAATAGTCTAAGTTTATCAAGCAACGAGAATACTTTTTGTGCGCAAAAAAACAAACAAAAATAATGACTTAATTCAACTAATGATTTCCTTCTCTGTTGGCCTCGAGATTTCACGTAGTGATGTTGCGCAAAGCTTCTGTTATACGTCCCACGCATCACACACATGACCAGTGTCGGCCAATAGTGAGCCTACGTGTGACGTACAACCTAGAAGCTTTGCGCAATATCAGTACGTGAACTCTCACGGCCCACAGAGAAGGAAATTAATAGTTTGTTTTTTGCACAAAAAAGTATTCTCGTCGCTTGATAAACTTGAGGTTGAGCCACTGTATTTTAACAATGGTCTTTAATAACTTTTCTGGGCCGGCAAGTTTCGATCCCTTAAGGAGAAATATCTTAATTTTTGTTACAAAGATGAACGAAAGTCTTACGGGGTTGGAACAACATGAGGGTGAGTAATTACTGACAAAATTTTCATTTTGGGGTGAACTAACCCTTTAACAAAAGAACATTATTTTAAGAGTACATGACTTTTAACTAAGTGGAACTGTGTGGCAGCAGCTGCATGCAAAATACACCTGTGAAACGGGTGACCAATGAGAGAAGAGATAACTCCTGGAACATTCTAGTACACTGGACAGTGAAGAACCAGCAATAACAACTAAGGCTACATACTTTGCATTGAAGCACACAAACAGCACTTTAATTTGAGCAACTTGAACGCACATTCTTTAATGCCTCCCTTCTCATCTTCCCCTGGCTGTTCTTTAAACCACAGTGAAATGCACTCATGCTGCCATTAGGGAGACAAGCTGCCTTCTGCTCACCTGGGAGCCAATCAGGAGCATATGGAGAGGAGAGAGTAGGGGGTGGAGCTTATGAATGATGGGGAGGCAGAGGAAAAACAGGAAGGAAACAGGCAGAGGGCGTCATGCACCGATTGGTTTTGATGGGACATCAGTGGTAGTAGTCCTGACATACTTGGACTTTGGCTAGATTGAACATATATTTATATAGTTTGGGCTTAGTCATTTTTTAAAATAACACTTTTATAAGGCAAGAATGCATTAAATTGATCAAAAATAACATTTGTAATATTACTAAAGATCTGTTAAAAAATGTTGTTCTTTTGAACTTTCTATTCATCAAAGA